CTCTATCAAAGCCAGTATTTGCCCGTTGGAATATTTGGAGGTTTTGACAAGTATTTAGCATTTATTCAACAATTTTCAAATACTTTAACAAATCCGCAGCATCAACGGCTAACGGACGCGACCACATTCTTGGACCGTTACATCGTCCAATACGCAGTTAGTTTACGCATAATTAGGTCGCTGGCCAACCCACCGCGTGATGTAAATTGTGGCACGCGACAGGTCGTCTTTAATGATAAGCGCATCACAGATTAGCATCTCGTTGGACTCGAAAGAGATTGTAAGGACCGTCGCATTGCGAGAGCAACTTAACGTAATGTCAATACGAGTCGTAGATTCACTCTAAAGGAAGTGTAAATTATGACGTAGATTTTATTACATTTAAATAGTGAGTGATAATTAAAAGCGTCAAAAGATTATACTGAAAATATACAGGTATAATTTATGTCGTTTTTATATATTTTTTTTGCGTACTTTGTATAAATAATGTTCTCTGAAAAAATCTTTTCGTTTTATGTATTATTCTCCGTGAAGTGGACATCGGGCTTTATTTGAAAGTCAACTGAAGTAATTTGCTGAAATAAAGCCTTGCCAGGATTGACAAAGAACGGATAGCGCTGTCACTATCCGTTTTTTGTCAATCCTGTAATCTTTCTTTGATTACTCTGATGTCTGCCTTTCTATTTTTTATATTTAGTGCTAATTTCCACTCAAGACCGGAAGACGTATGATCGAATCCCGTAGAATTGACACAGTAATTTTTTTGACAGTTTATCTATTAAAGTCGCATTTGAACAAGTAAAGGGACTAAGAATTAAATAAACAGCATACTTTGTTCTAGGTCACACAGTGTTAATGAAATTTTCGTGATTATGTGACATGTACGTAACTAACATATTCACTGAATGTCTTAATGGTGCTAAATGTTTTCAAATCGGTCTTTTGTTTTATAAAATTACGTAAAATTCGTCTTAATTAACGCCAGTCGCTAAATTAAGGCGTACTTTCACCGCGACTTTAAAAACTTTACTTTTACTCGAACGTCGGCGATACGGCAACATTCAGGACATATGAGGAAATATTTGTATTATTTTTATTTTGCACTGATTACATTGTATCTAATTTTCAAGTTTATATTCACCTGTTTTGAAAATAAACATATATTTTTTAGATATTTAATTTTCGTAATGTACAAAATCAATATTTAACTTTTTTGAACTTTGACATGATATATATGAAATGTGATTAATTATTAATATCATTGATTTAATCAAACCACAGTTTTGATTAAATCAACTACAAGCAATTGGATCATCTTTTTGGTGTGAAAAGTTGATTAAATATTCGCCAATGACCCAATTTCAAAACATCGCAACTTCCCCTAGAAATCATTCGTCGGGCGTAAACAACGTGGCCTTTGCGATATGAATATAAATTATACAGATGTTTCATGAAGATAATTTTAATTGCATACAGTGTTATGGCTGACTGACAAGGCTACCATTCGAGGGCGAGAATCAACCTTCGAAATGATTAAACTTTTAAAATCAATATCGTATGGTTGTCTTCTTTTATGGTTAGGTTAGGTTACTTTTTATTCCCATTAAAGTTTAAGCTGATGAAACAGTGGATACCCACAACGAGAGACCTAACAGTCGGAAGTAATGGGAAAAGGAGCAAGGCATGTCGCGAGGCAGTTCCGGAAACTTTTTCTTCTTGGAATGACAATGTCGACTAAAATGAAGTCGATCGCAGGGATTGCCCTTTCCGCGAAGCGCCAATGATTGTAACCGGTCGATACATCTACCTGATATCTGTTTCATTATAGGCTGATTTTCGAGACCATATCGTAACCGTCCCGTATCGAATCCAGAATCCTATAAAGTTATTACTACTGACTAAAGCAAAATGCGATTTTTAAATGATGACTATAGTTGTTGGTAATAATAACATTATTCTGTATGGCAAAAAAAAAGCTAGCTTCCTGGAAGCATTTATTATTATAAATTTATCTACTTAATTACACGGATTTTTAAATAAATTACTTTAATATCTTGTCGAAAGTGAACTGGCACGAACTAATATTGGACGCATGTTGCTGGTAGATATGATTGTCTTGGTGTGAAACTGAGTTTTGACCCCTGATTCCGTGCCGGAATTCGAGTCTCACAAAACTTTCACTTGATGCAAAGTAATTCTGAGTGTGTCTGTGGCACGAGGACATAGGGAACGCTTTGTCCCTTTACTTTAACGAGTCTAGTTTTATTCCGTACCTAATTATGATGCAAGCCTTCAACTGGTAATTGATTTTTATTTATTTTAGTATGTATACTAGTATCATACCTCTCATTCTTTATATATAAGTTTTTCAGATCATTTTAATTTCTTTTCCCATATAAAATAAATATCCATATTTTTATGTATATACAATTATACATACATATAATATGTTTATGTTTTATATTAATTATACACAGTGCGCGTGCAGGTAGTCGTCAGTAGGTCGTCATTCTTGTGTTCGTTTTGTTGGTTTTTGTCAGCATAAAGTGACGGGAATGCATTCGAGTAAAGCGTCGGTATATTTACGGACAAAAACTAAATTCCTTCATCTGATACCGCGCCGATGGCATTACAAGGCCCTTTTATGTTCTCCGCCTAATGTTGGTAACTCATAAATATTACTTATTTACCACAATAAAATATACCCTTAGCGTAGAATTTGGTACGGAATAGGCTTTTCTTCTCCGTCGCCGATTCTCTCAAAGTTTTTCAAACCTTCAGAAATGAAGACCAAGAAAAAGAAGAAGAAGGGTTCCTCCCTTCATCGAATGTAATGATTTTTTTTGAGTGCCTTTACGGTGCTTCGCTGTATACAATCTTATAGAAAAAACCACATTTCAGATTTGCAAACCAATACCTGAGAAAACTGATCGTCATCTGGATGTATAAAACAACTAAAATAAATATCAAGCGGCTTCTAAATGACTCCCTCTTTTTTCACTTCGTAATTAATATTTCGGTAATATTACTCTATTGATTAAAAATGTTATATACGAAAATGCTTGTGCCATTGTTGTAGACAATTACCTTTTTTATCAATCAAACTGTAGAATTCTTATGTCAATGGTGGCTATAAAATTTTAAGTTGATTTTTAATGTTATGTGTAATCGTTATTACCTTTAGGAGTCCAATAAACAAATTATAAGTTACGTAGTATATTGTATACTTCATCATAGCATCATAGCATTTAAAATATCTATAAATACCTAAGTTTGTTAAATTTATGACGAATGTCAATCGGTTCGGTTATGATAATTAAAATCAATACCGTAATTCAATGAACTGTGATCAAAAACTCTGCAAATTTGTAGACTTACTAGTCTGAAAACTAGGTAAGATCGCTTACAAATCTCCTCAATCGCTTATACCAATTACAAATACTATCAAAATTGGTTCATCTATTTTGGAGAGGGTGAACAGACAGATAGGCAAACATAAAGCTAAGGAATATTATGGGAAACTGGAATAAAGCCACGCAACAGTCTTAACTGTTGCACGAATGGGCAGGTCCTTCCGGGGAAGTACCATGACCTTACAGAAGACCGCCGTAAAGTGGTAGCATAACACTTGTGCATATCGTCTGGTGAGTGAGATAACCGGAACCCACTTTATGAAAAAGCAACGCCTCTGCATCTCTACGGGTATTGCAAATGTCCAAGGCCGGCGGTTATCACTTAACATTAGGTGTTTCCGTCAGTTTGCTTGGTATCTTTTCCCAAAAAAATAATAACTTTTTTCGAAAACACATGGATTCTGAATACGTAACAATGCAAAAGGTGAAACATCGCCCTTTTCAAATTAAATATGATAGGCCGGAAGTAGAGAATTCCAAACTTCCGTTATTCAAAACAGGGAGCAACAGCTGTACATATACGAGATTAACAAAATAGATAGAGGAATTGAAAATGTTCAAAGGATAGTGTAGCTTAGTCAAAAACCGAAGTACTAGTACTCAAACTATACGAATATAATTCATACAATTAGTAAGGCAAGTGGACTTTTGGAAATTATTAAGCATCAATCGATCAGAATATGATAAATGATACATCAAACATTTTTTGTTTGTAGTTTTTTCGTTTTAGCTCCAGACATGCGATTTTACGTGCATGAATGATTATTTTACTAATTGTTTTCCTAAATTTGCATTGTCGTCTTCAATGTATGTCCTGTGTACGGTGTTAAGGTGCTCTTGCACCGTTACCTGTGCTTACGCCCAGCCCCAAATACGCTAGGGCTTTGAATTGAAAGCCGATAAATATTTTTGTAAATTTTGGCGATAAAAATTTTGAGTTTACTTAGTAGTAAACTCAAAATAATTAAATATTATTATATTATACTACAAAGTATATATAATAATACTACTAGGTAAACTTAGTACTTTACTTAGTAGTAAACTAGAAGACTAGAATCCAATGATTATAATCGTAAACTATGGAAAATTTTAATTATAAAATAATTTTCTTATAAGCAAAGTTACTCAGATAATTACTTTATATTATTACATTACGTAATTGAAATTATTGTATTATTACTGAAGTTTTGAACATTTCAACATATACATACTATTTAGTAACAGACAGTAGATACAAAAATTAATAAGATACCAAGAGAATTGTGTCAATGCGGTCGATGAAAGCTGTTAGATTGTGTAAAAACATTGTCCCACGGTGCAGCATCGGCTTTGACTACGCGATAATAGCGTTGTTTTGATCTACTTAACCAGTTAATCTCAGTTGGAGATGGTTCAGAGAGCACCTAATAGAAATTCTTCACTATGTTGCGTCTATTGTTTTATATTCTGTGCATGTTGCATCTTTAGTTTCATACGTTGCATTTAGGCCATTTGTTTATTCTCATAGCGCGAAACGCATCAATCGTTGTATGAAATTAAAAAAAAAGCATTAAAAAGGTGCGCCAGTGACGATATGGGAAAAGAAATATGAGACATCATATTAACAGGTGTGACATTGAGAAAAGCGACAGCGCTTTGAAAAAAATTAGACTGCGGAGTGAAAATCTCAAAGGCGCCTCCGAACGCAGACCAGAACGATCGGAAAGTGGCTCATCTTCTCTGGGGCTACACTCTCTCGCCTACTTTTCGGAGCCAAGCTCGCCGACCCACCTTGCAGCAGAGCGAGGACGACGCCTAGCAGAGTCACATCCATGGCGGTTGGCGTTAACACAAGGCGTACAGTTACGACACTCGCGACGATTCTCCGTGACGCGGCGCGGTCATGGCGCGTCCTGCTGCTGTGACGGTCGGCGCACGACTGAGCCGGTGCGGCGACGACAGGTGCGCACGCGCGTCGCGGCTAACCGCCGACGGCAGCCCACCTAGCCTCCCTCCCCTCGGAGCTTTCGCGCGCCGAATAACAAATTTCTCGAACTCCACTATGCGAAGCCTACTTTGCGTGTTTTGATTCGCAATGCAGAGGACGTATCGGCGTTAACATTTCGTAGCTCGCTTGTAGGTCACTGGGCGCGGGCTCGTTTCTGCCCTGGCAAAAAGGGTAGGTCGTTTAGTTCATTCATTATATGTTATTCGTAATATAACGTAAACAATTTCAGTTACACTGTAAAGCCAGAACACTGTCGTATGAAACAGTTAGGTGAATGCTAAGGAGCACGCGTTGATGTCTTTTGTATGCTCATAAATATGAGGCTCGCGTAAAGTCATGAAGATTGCGAATATATCGCATTCGCCTTACCTGAATAAAAGCGATTGTAGTCCGAAATTACATCAGTGAGATTCTTTCAGTGGCTAATTGTTTAATACAGTTAATATTACCGGAAAATATGACGTTCCCATTGCTATAACTGCGTTCCGCAAATCATTGTTCGCTATTCTCTAAATACAACGGACAACTTTTATCGCTTCGTCCAGTAGAGTGGTAAAACTGTTATGAAAAAACTAATTTCATAGGCATAATTAAAATTAGCTCACTCACTTTCTCGGGCGGATCGATCCGACGCGGTGGGTGATTGCGCAACTCCCGTTGTTTCCAGCCTATTTACAGTCTATGAACCGTTTATTTTTGAACCGACTGACATAAGAGGCTCTTGATTTCAATCATTCACAGCACCGGAATAGCTATAAAATTAAATGGCTGTTAAGAGAAGAATAAGCTATCTTTTTCATTGGCAAGCAAATGAACAAGTTCTACAACTTACAAAAAATGTAAATATCATATAAAACCGAACCAAGCAAAAAAAATATGCAATTAGCCATAGAGTAGGACAAGCAACTAACTCTTCAATATAAATGTGATTCCATACTCTCACTTAAGAAGCTTAGAAAAGTAACAACTTAACAAGCAATAATTATGCTTTGCGACTGAATAGGTATAGTATGCGTTTATAATGTAGATTTTAGTAACGTATCTACGAAAATGTAACTTACGTATTTTAATGTCAGAAACCATATTGACATAAGCAAACTCTGGGTTTACCTTTGGTCCTTTAGTTACCATTGATGTATTTTTTTTTTCAATAAAATTGTCCCCGCTTTTATTTAGTTTTAAAGATATCCCATTCCAGAGCTGTTTATTTTTAAAATGCTTTTATATGAGGTTTAAGGTTACATCCATTTAAATATAATTTCCACCCACGCCTAGACGAATAGTATTTGTTGAAATTACACACATGATGTAATGATGTAATGCAATACAATAATTTCATAATTTACCTAATCGATACAGAGGTGGTGGTTGGTTTTAAAAAATATTTTATTTTTCTTCATATTGTTATGAACACACAAAGGAACGAACACCATCTAGCGTCAACTATTAAAACCACTAAAGAACAAAGACGACATAAAACCCCCTATTCAACACTAGATGGCATTAGAGGAACTGCTGTGGAACTATAGTCTCGAAAACCGGGTACATTCGCGAACTTTCCGGATTCACGAACATGTTCGTGCGTGTCGGGTACGTTCCAGGAATGATCTTTCTGGATTAGTCCGGAACCGGTCTCGGCCCATATAAAAAGCCGCAGGGAGGCGAGCGATGACAGTTCAGTTTGAGCAACCTTCGAGGCGACTTCGGAGCGAAAACTAGTGATCAAGAGCGATACCAGTGAAACCTACGACTTGGCTACAAAACAGGACACCGTTAGTGCTTAGTGTTTGAACGTAGTGCTTTGTGTTGGACCTAGTGCTATTGAATAAAGTCTTCAAAAGAGTCAGCAGGTCTTTCTCTCCAAATCCTTCGAACCCCTAACACGTAACGACTGGTGTCAGAAGTGGGATTTGGAGATGCCATTGACTGCGGAGACCACACCCACTGGGGACCAAGCCCCGCCCACTATGGGTCAAGCCCCGCCCACCGACCGCACCGACCAGGCCACGCCCACCGACCACGCCCCTCAGACTCCGCCCACTCAGCCACAAGCCCCACCCACTTTGGCTCAAGCCACGCCCATTTCGGGGCAGGTCACGCCCACTTTTGTGCAAGCCCCGCCCACTGACTCCACCCCACCGGGACACGCCCACTCGGGCCACGCCCACTCGGGCCACGCCCACCTTGCCACGCCCACCGGCGGCACCACAGCTTCTGCAACCCCTGAAGTGGCTCTTCAATTAGGAAGTTTAATTAAATTAATGGAGCTGCAAAGGGCTGAAATTCAGGCAATGAAGGAGTCACAAGAACGCAAGCTCACGCGCTTTGCAAGCGTCACAAGAGCAACAAAAAGACCTTCAAGAAAAAGCGCTTTGGGTATAAATGATGTTAGTAACACGGTGATTAAGCTTCGAAGTGATGTCGACGTAGTCGAAGAACGAGTTACCGGGCTAGGATTGGATGTTGAAAATGTGAAAACCGGCCTCACTGAACTGCAGAAGAAAGTAGTGCGCCTTGAAACCACGGGAGTCGCGATGTCTAGTGGAACCACTGGAGTGGTGCAAGGACCAAGAGTGAAAGTGCCGCCATACGACGGCACTACTTCTTGGCACGCTTATCGTCGGCAATTCCAGACTGTTGCTACTGCCAACGGATGGACGGAAGAGCAAAGCCTGACCGCTCTCACTGTTGCGCTCAGAGGGCAAGCTTTGTCGGTCCTGGAAGCACTGCCACATACAGGAAATGGGTTCCAAGACCTGATGGAAGCACTTGAATCCAGATACGGGGAGCGACACCTGGAGCACGTATTCCGTGGCCAACTGCGTGACCGAGTCCAACGCTCAGGAGAAGGACTACAACAATGGGTGTTGGAAATTGAAAAACTCGTCAGGAAGGCACACCCAGGAGCCGATACCAAGATAGTAGACAAGAATATTGTTCAAGCATTTGTGGACGGAATCAAGGACCTCGAGGTCAGAGCTGCAGTGAGGCTTCGTCACCATACCTCGTTAAAGGAGGCATTGGCGCACGCTTTGGAGGTCGAGGCTGTTGGCCGTGACATACGGCAGACCCATAAGATCCGCGAGGTCTTTGAGAAAGTGAAGGAGGTTAAGGCCCCTACGAAGAGAAATTCTGGACCCATGTGCTACAAGTGCGGCGAGAGGGGCCATCTTCAGCTCAACTGCCCGCAGAAGGAGACCCAGATGGAAAGGATGAAAAGGATTGAGGAACAAATAAAGGAGCTGAAGAAGCAAGGGGCTTCAGGGAAACGAATAAAAGCCGGGACTAAGGAGCGAGTACTGGCTGACGCGGAGGAAGCTCCAGTAAACGGCCACAACTACGGATCAATGACTGAGGTACTCAATGACTTCAAGACGAAACACCGCAGCGGAAAGACGCATGGGAATGCCGACGCACTCTCACGAAGGCCATGTTCGGAAGACTGCAAACATTGTGTTAAGCAGGAATCTAATGAAGTTACATTAAAGCTAACGAGGACAAGTCCTTTGGGTCTCTGGGAGAATGATGCTATGAGAGAGGCTCAAGAAAGTGACGACGACCTGCGGCACATCATCACATGGAAGAAGCGGGGCGATGTAAAACCAAACTGGAGTGAGGTTGCACCCACTGGCGCTGTCACTAAGGCGTACTGGGCGCAATGGGACAGTCTGATACTTCAAAACGGAATACTCTACCGGAAATGGGAGAAGACTAACGGCAGAGAGTTCCATCTTCAAATAATTGTCCCGAGAACGAGAGTACCAGATGTTCTCCGTGAAATACATGATGGCGTATCAGGTGGTCATCTAGGTGTCAAGAGAACGTTAACAAAAGTGCGAGAACGATTCTACTGGTTGCATTGTCGAGATGATGTACAGGATTGGTGCCGCCAAATGTACTACTTGCGCTGCTGTAAAAGAACCACAGACTAGAAGCCGTGGGAACCTGCGGTTGTATAACGTCGGTGCACCGTGGGAACGAATTGCAGTTGACGTAGCTGGGCCATTTTCTGTAACGGAATCGGGAAACAAGTATTTTATGGTCGTCATGGACTACTTCACCAAATGGCCCGAAGTGTTCGCCATACCAAACCAAGAAGCTACAACAGTCGCTTCTAAGTTAGTCGAAGAAGTGATATGTCCTTTCGGTGTGCCTCTAGAAATCCATTCCGATCAGGGCAGGAACTTCGAATCGCAAGTATTCCAGGAAGTGTGTAGAATTTTGGGCATGCATAAGACGAGGACCACCGCGTGCCACCCACAGTCGGATGGAATGGTTGAGAGATTTAACCAGACCGTTGAGAGGCATCTGGCGAAATTGTGTAGACGACAAACAAAAGGATTGGGACAAGTATATACCACTCTTCCTTCTGTCGTACCGAACCGCCGAGCATGAGAGCATAAAAGCTACCCCGGCGTATGTCAATTAGAGTAGAGAACTACGATTACCAGTAGACCTATTGACAGGAGGGTCACCGGAGGGACCACAGACCGTACAAGACTATGTCTGCAAGTTAAGGGAAAAAATGCGCTATATACACGCCTTGGTTCGGGAAAATGGGTTACAGTCAAGTGAGAACATGAAAACCAGATACGACCGGAAATCGAACACGGACGGCTTCGAGGAAGGGTCACTGGTGTGGCTGCATAACCCAACTCGTCGGAAAGGGAAATCCCCAAAGTTGCAGACCAAGTGGGACGGTCCATACAAAGTGGTTACCCGACTGAATGATGTGACTTATAGGATTCAAAAGCAACCAAGAGGGACATTCAAAGTGGTACACATAGACCGTCTGGCGCGTTACCATGGCAGTAACAATGATGCTCGAGACGAGCATCTCTAAGAGGGGAGTAGTGTTATGAACACACAAAGTAACGAACGCCATCTAGCGTCAACTATTAAAACCACTAAAGAACAAAGACGACATAAAACCCCCTATTCAACACTAGATGGCGTTAGAGGAACTGCTGTGGAACTATAGTCTCGAAAACCGGGTACATTCGCGAACTTTCCGGAATCACGAACGGTGGTAGGGCCACGCAGCAGCCTCGGCTGTTGCACGAATGGGCAGGCCCGTCCGGGTAAGTACCACGACCTCACAGAAGACCGGCGTAAAGTGGAAGTATTACAAATACTTTCCCGTTTCGTCTGGTAAGTGAGGTAGCCGGAGCCCAATTTTCAAAAGGTTGTCAACGCATCTGTAACCCTCGAGTGTAGCAGATGTCCATGGGCGGCGGTATTCACTTAACATCAGGTGAACCGTCTGCTAGTTTGACAACTTTTCGCATTAAAAAAAAAATGTTCGTGCGTGTCGGGTACGTTCCAGGAATGATCTTTCTGGATTAGTCCGGAACCGGTCTCGGCCCATATAAAAAGCCGCAGGGAGGCGAGCGATGACAGTTCAGTTTGAGCCACCTTCGAGGCGACTTCGGAGCGAAAACTAGTGATCAAGAACGATACCAGTGAAACCTACGACTTGGCTACAAAACAGGACACCGTTAGTGCTTAGTGTTTGAACCTAGTGCTTTGTGTTGGACCTAGTGCTATTGAATAAAGTCTTCAAAAGAGTCAGCAGGTCTTTCTCTGCAAATCCTTCGAACCCCTAACACGTAACAATATTATATTTTAACACCTGTCAAACAAGTTTCAAATATTTAGATTACCACGGTATGGAGTAAATGTATCATGAGAGAATTTTGGTTAACGTTTGACGTCACGAGTGTGCGATTAGATGACACTGGCGTTTCATTTAGCCTATTGCGTCTAAATGTAAATAAAATATTCATTTTGGATGAGCATCTTCATGGAAAGTAGGCTATGTTACGTTACCTGCTCTAAACTTAGGTTTCGTTTACGTATCAGCATTACAGAGAAGCATCAATCCTGACTTTAATTTAACATGACTACAAGTTTTATTTTTCCGAATACTTTGGTTATTTCAGTTATTTCTATTCAAATACTAACTTTTATCATATATTTTTTATCAGTGAAGCCTTATATAATTGAGCTAAGAGAGTATCAAAATATTTCCCATTTCATTTTTGATTTACGACGAATATTATTGGCTTTTAACCATCGGTCTGCATCTACAAACCTTTTGGTGAATATAAACAACGAGCATTATCATATTGGACTCTATCCAAAATTGTTTCAAATATGACCGTGCTTGCGTATGGCTTACAATGCCCATTGTACGTTCTGAATACAAAAACCTGGTACTCAAATGTTATACAAAGACGAATATTAATTAATAGGTGCTAATGTTGCAACAAATAAACATAAAACTATGTAAAAAATAATAATTCTAGGCAAGCTCACTGAAAGTCCATAATACCGAATTTTGAAGGGAAGAATTGTCAGGGGATACACTCATTCAGGATGTATGTACCTACATAAAAGTACATGTACTACATTACTTACAAATAAATAATGAATACTCAAATAGTCTTAAAATGTTACCATGAAAAATTATTATAATAAAATATTGTCTACAGGCTTAAACTAAATAAAAAAGCCAGTTTTAGGACTTAATAAATAAACCAAACATCTCGTAATTATAATATTTCTTCACTGCCATACAAAGACGTAAGAGAAAGTAATAACTTTCTTATCAATAAGTTCACATATCTCTTATGTGATGTCCTAACCTGCATAACGCAGTTACCGAATTAGGCTTAGTAAAAGTTGAATAAGGATTCTTATTGACTTTCATTGCTAATTTTAAACTCGTAACTCTGTTGGATTTCTTTACATCCAAATATACAGTCAATTTTTAAATATATAACTATTTTTATTTTCTTAAGACGCAAATGGGATTGTATGCCAGAACAACATTTACTACTAAATATTTAAATAAGTTAAAATTTGTAGAAAAACGTCTTCTACGTTGCTTTTCTTAGCATTTGAAAAAAAAAATACAATGTTGATAAAAGACGTTAAGATTTTCGTCAGTGTTGCAATCAGCCGTTTAGCTGAGTTGTTAAAGCGTCAGACGCGAATGCTGAAGACGTGGGTTCGATTCCAACAGCAGCGACAATATTTTCGTGTTTGAACTTTAAATTAAAAATTTTAGTGTTTAATCTTAAGTGCAGAGATTAGCACAATAAAAATTTAATATTTAAAAAAAGGTTAAAATTTAATTATAATCGTTCAAATCAATATCAGAATTTTCGAACTTAACCGGTGTGACTGTTTGTTTAAAAAAATTACGACAAGAGAAATATGTTATTTTTAGACCAAAAATTGTGTCGACCGATGTAAGCATTTGGACAAAGGCTAGTTAAAAAGATAGTAGCCCAAATGTGTCATCACGTCCAACACTATATAAATGCGTTAAAGGATGGGCCGTTGTCAGTCAGTACATTAGTTTTCCATAATGGAACCTACAAAGGACTGTCACGGATAATCGCTTATGGCGTAACCCCAATTTATTCCTTCATTCTCTGAGGACCTTAAGTTCGAACCAGAAAGTTCACTTTTAAATAACTCAAAAAAGTCAGTTATATATAAGTATCTATCATGATTTTTGTCGCTGTGGAATGCGGGAACCACTTCCCCTTATCCATTTTTCAAACATGATGAAACTCTTCAATGATTGTTTTCAAAAAAGGTGTGGTTATGTCAAAATCATTCTATAAGGATGACGAGTAAAAATTACGTAAAGATTACCTCAGAATATCAAATACTATCTATGGTCCAAGCAAGCCTAGTTCGTCGATTATATCGTCGATAAATCGTTTAGTGTGTATATTATATTTTGAAGGTACAATCTGATTACTGTTTTATCCTTAATTCATAAATAATTTAGTGAACCATACGCAAAGAAAAGTTGGGATTCATCCTATTTTAAGAATTTATCGTGAGACGGAACGTACCAAGTGTCTGTTAACTGTATATAATACTGCCAAATTCGATATCACATCGGGCTTTCCAATGCTTTATTTAATAATGTAACAACTTTACTTTTATGCATTACACTATATTTTGATTACAGGTTTACAAAATTAAAATATCAGGTGATCAGGTGTATGAAAAACGAATAGCAATACGGTTATGTATTCGTAATAATATCGAATTTTACATAATCCTTTAACTATATTTTCTTTTATTTTAAAGTTGAATGTAATATTTTTTTTAAATCTCTTCGTTTTTAATATAACATATAAATTCTAATTTTGATTAATATACAAAATGAATAGTGTAAGTTTACTAAACGATTGTTCGAAACAATGGGAAGTTTTGCTGTTATTGTTATCGTCAGAAGAGAAAAAAATTGATAGGACGAGTGAAAATGAGATTGATACTATGAGTTATTTCCGCAAGAATGAAGGTGTAAGGTACTATTTGATCCATAATTTCTTCTTAACATATTTATGATTATGTCAGTAGTCACAGACGTAAACAAGCCAATATCTTAGATCATTGGTAGTCATTGAAATTACTTCGTTAGTTCTCAGTATTAGTTCACACCGAAAGTTATGTAATTAAATAATAATATGTAAAAATATTATAAGCATCTATTTTAAGTGCATAATAAAAGTTAATAATTGCTTAAAGTAACTAGTAATAATATTAAGATCAAGTGATATGAGGAATTAATAGACAAAATCAAATTAACTATAGTAATTATAATTTATTGGTATGTTTATGAATTTGGACATTGGGCCATGTCAATCGCTCTGATAATTGTATAATTTGCAATGCACAGACATTACAAAAAGGCATCCAGTGTGAAATATTGCATATACTGTAAAATTTCATTTTTACAATAATTGGCAGTGAATGTAATTTTTAAATGTTTTCATAATGCAAGATATCCAATCGGGTCTTGTATATGATGTGTCATATTGGGAAGTACTGAACCAAATTTAATTTACTAATGCAAAACTACATTCCCCTAAATCACCCATTTATACTAACATGTGTGCTCATTAAATTTAGTTCTAAATCTTAAATTTTTGTTTACGGGCAACTTGAAAAGTTTGGTCAATATGAATAATAACCATCTGAATCTGTATTCATAACACCTGTACCATGTATGTGTTTATAAAACTGCATAGTCTATCACTTCATCAGGTCTATCAGACAAGATAAACTGTATCATTTTTGAGGTTCCGTATCCGGGGTAAAATGAGACCCTAATACTAAGGCTCCATTGTCTGTCTGTCTGTCACCAGGTACAGCCTGAATGACCGTCATAGTTAGGCGAGCCTCATGAACTGTGATAGTTAGACAGTTGAAAGTTTCATAGATGATGTATTTATCTATTGCCGCTATGACAACAAATACTAAAAACAATAAAAAATGTTTGTAGTTTGGGAAACTCAATCATTATATCTGTGTATGTATGTATTATGTATGACAACATTTGTTATATATATGTTTTTTTGTATTATATATAAGTCAAAACAATAAGTAAGTGCCAAGTCAATGCAATTTTTATTGGTTTTAAACATTTTGGCGCTTAAACCCAAAACTACTATGTAATTACTGTTCTTGCTTGCTTATGAGGCAAGTCGTTAAAGATGGCAACTGTATTACTACCCTTTATCACAATGCCTGGTTAGAAGTTGAGAAATATTCATACTGTCATGTGTCAATGTGTTAATTTTAAGCTATCTCAAACATTATTTTTTTAAATAGACCACGGGTCATTGGACTTTATTAGCATGGATGGGCCAAAGTGATAAATTTATCAATTTGAAAACTGCTCATGGGTATTATTTCTAATAATAATGGTCCATATTAATATTGCCCACAAAAACAAGTTGCCCATAACACATATAATAAATTGTAGGTAAAATTTGTCAAGACAGTTGCTAAGCATATGCATAATCAAAAAACCATAGACCCCAATTGCAATATTCAGCTGGGCTAATTAGCTTTACTTATAAATATATATTTATGTTAAATAATGTGATGAACTGTAGTAGCTCAAGCTCTGGGCAGTAGCTTTTAATTTGATATACTCAAGCAACCTAAGTACAAATCTGGGTGCTGACACTAAAAGAGAATGTTGTTTGCAACTTTAAGTGCTGAAACATCACATGCTCAGAGGAAACAATAAAAATTTGAAGGATACCAAAGACAGTAGGGTCACATGATGGACTATGCTATGTTGCTCTAATACCCTAAGTACAAAGAAAGCCTTTGTACAGCAGTGAGAGCAGTGTATAGAGACTGCCACTTAACATAGCATATGTTCAGTTGGTTACTTTAAGTAAAACTATTATACATCTGTGCAGTCATGTTAAGGTTCATCAAAAGTCTTATTATAGTATAATAGTAGGTGTATTAAAGTCATATACATATAAAGGTCAATGATTATTACCTTGATTAATCCCATGAGTTCCACCGCTTCACCTGCATGGTTTCTCTTGGCATAAACTACTTAAATTAGGATAGCATTGATTTGTTGCATTAGTATTAGTATTTGTGGGTGGTAGAGGTTGGGTAGTAAGTCCCAACAACCACTGCACTTTAGAATAATCTATTGTAGTCTTCTCTTCGAGACATTTCCCCCTTACTGTAGGATAACATTGTCCTGTGTTATAAGAATGTCTTCTATAACTAAATTTCGCGTGAATAAACACTCAGATCAGAAACAGTTATCTGTGGGTCACACAAATTGCCTCGTGTGGGAATCGAATCAGCGACACTCGGCGCCGTAACCAATACCTTGATGACTTCGCCACGGAGTCATCATTTGGCGCATTCTCAGTCCCAAATTTAATTCAAATCTGTCCAGTTCAAGTGTGAATGTGTGTAATTATTGTGAGTGTTTGTTCCAAAGTCGAATCCTGATTGATCGCGAAACCAATGTCCCCTTTTTTTAGTCCCCATATACGACAAGCCTGAGAAATACCTTAACCCAAGACTATAATATTGTTATATTTGTCACGTAATATCGTAAAGAAAAAACGTAATTAGGTAAAGCAGAAAATAAACAGATAACAAACACGATAATAAGGAATGGTTTTCGCTATTTTCATTTAGCCTAACAATTAATCTCTGTTAAAGTTTTCTGAAATAATACCTCATTGAAAGTGTTATGGTTAAATTGATTTTTTTGTGAGAGTTTTGCCCTCGTTTCTAATTTGGAGTGAGAAATCTGATTAAAATGGACAATTAGTTATACTTAAAAATTTGATGTGCTAAAAACATTTATGGTTTATGTCACCTATCAAACTTATAATCAAATATTTAATGATTTTCTGTGACGTAACTATATTTGGAATACATCAAAATCAATTTCAATAGAGCATATACTACCAAGCTACTTAACATATAAAAAAATAACTCATTACTTTAGTAAGATACATTTACAATTTCGCTCTCAAAAGTTATGCTTCAATAATTATATGATTGTATAAAGTAGGATATGTTATAAGGTAATAGTCTCGAAAAATTAAATTCTACAACATAAAAAGGTTTACAAAGGTTAAATCGTTCACTCTGAAATACTATAGTCCCACAATTCGCTTGGGAACGTTCTAGATAATATTTTCTTTACACATAAAATTTTTTAATATAAACAACAGGTTCTAAAATGCCAGTTGTTTCTCTGTTTTAGAAAAATCATGCTTCAGTGGCTGCAACAAATGAAATGCTCCTACGCCAAGAAGATCAGTGAGTTGGACACGGCCTTGAAATGTGACCAAGTGTCCCTGCTATGGCGACAAATGGGGAACGATAAATTCCGAGCTAACTTGGTCGAGGAGAGCTATTGCTGCTATTCTAAGAGCGTACTATATGCTAATCACAATGGACCCATGTACCCTTTGGCTTTAGCAAATAGATCGGCGTCATTGTTGCGAATGAAGAGGTTTAAGGTACTGGTCGCCTCTTGAACAATCTATAAATTTTTTATGTAAGTAGGTTATGGTGGTTATGGTAGTAGGGCCTCGGCTGCTGCACGAATGAGCAGGCCAATCCGGCTAACTACCATGACCTCACAGAAGACCAGCGTAAAGTGAAAGTATGACAAATATTTCCGCGTTTCGTCTGGTGAGTGAGTTAGTCGGAGCCCAATTTTCAAAAGGTTGTCAACGCATCTGTAACCCTCGGGTGTAGCAGATGTCCATGGGCGGCGGTATTCACTTACCATCAGGTGAACCATCTGCTCGTTTGGCAACCATTCCCATAAAAAAAGGTAGCAAGCGAGCTGGCGGTTCACCTGACGTTAAGTGATAGCCGCTGCCCATGGACATTGGCCACACCCGATGGTTGCAGATGCGTTGCCAACTTTTAATGAAGTGGGCCCCGGTTAGCCCACTCACCAGACGAAACGCAGAAGTGTAACACTTTATCTATTTTTTTTTTATTTTTATATTTCGAACTGACCAGCACTTGACTTCCATCCCACGTGATGGTAAGTGGCGATGCAGCCTTTGATGATAAGCGCGCTAGCTTAGTAAAAACCTATTCACTCTTGCCTTGAGCTCTCTTCGAGGTTCTTCTGTTCGTGCGCGGTACTTCCCCGGAAGAAACAGTAAAGACTATTGTGTGACACTGCCACAGATAAATAAATTATATCAATTATTATTAACTAACAACTCGGAAGTGATTTTTTTTTAAATGAAACTTCTTTGGGGGCGATTTCGTAGGTCAGTTTTGCGAATGATTTCCTGGACGTATCACGTTTGTCCACTATTTGTTGCAGGAGGGAGAACAACATGTCTCTATCTCTTTCTCCCCCATTTAATCTTTTGTTATTTAAATTGTATTACTTTATGTACACATATATACAACGTGTTCATATTGAATTCCCGTGACTTTAAAAGAGAAAAAATGCCTCGGGGACATGGATCATAATTTCATAACTTATAATTTCAAAGATAACACTTTAATTAGTACACAAAAAAAAAACTCCAGTATGATAAATACTTGCATTTATGACGTTGCCGCTCTGACATCCATTAACGTAGGGTAGAAAAGTTGTTTTACTTAACAAACTTAACTTAGTACACTCATAAAAGACACCATCAAATTTTTTACAGTGTTTTAAAACCAAATCGAATATGCCACGTTATAAATCGATAGTACAAAATTTCATTAATTCTTTTATATCACACACATCCGTATCTCGTTGGGTTCCGATACATGGTCTCGTTAATACATAAAAGTTCTGGGAACTGCATAGAAATACGTTGTATGTACAACATTTCGAAATACACGATACGTATATATTTATAGTATGTATAGTAAACGTGCACTATGTTTAGAAATTGTAAACCAATGTTAGGCAATGGATTGTTGATAAATTATCGGCCTGCAGGAGAGTTTGGCAGACGTCGCCCTTGCCATAGAGAGTGGATATCCTGCAGAACAAAGGCACAAACTGCTCCTACGTAGGGTAGACTGTCACATAGAGCTGGGACAAAGGTCCGAAGCACGAAGCGCCCTTTCTTCAGCAATCGAACACGCGAAAGCTCTCAACCTGTCGGCCATACAAACCTGTTAGTATGTGTTCAAATTCTTATGTATATAAGCTAACATTATGTATATAATTACATGGCTATGGCCGATGACCTACTGATAATGTTATCCATAAATTGGTGTTTCGCCGAATCTATCCACGCTCCACCGATATTGTACTAGCACAAAGTTTTACTGTAGGCGACAAAACCTTGGATTTTACGATGATTTTACACCAATAAGGGAACAAGCTTATGGGTAAACGATTCTGTAAATGATTGTATTATCATATTTTTAAAAGGGGAAAAAGGGTCCATTATTCTCTCTATATCACAACAGCGTGAAAGAGTGTTAACTATTTCACAATGTTCAGTATCAACGCCTCAGATAGCTGAAAATATTTTGACATCGGGTAACATTAAGTTGTAAAATTTTGTAGATAAATGAACAAAAAGTCTGGGCGCTGCGGGGTTCGAACCTGCGTGTACTGGTGTCGCGAACAGACGTTTTACCAACTGAACTTAGCGGCCGATGACCTTACAGCGCGAAAATAAAGTCAAGTAACAGCCTATAAATGTCCCACTGCTGGACAAAGGGCACCTCTATAAAGAGGGTTCTCAGGGTTATAGTTCACCACGCGACCCCACTGCGAATTGGCGGACTGCACATATTTTCGAAATATTTTTTTTGTTATTACTTCGAAAAATATGCAGGTTTTCTCACGATGTTTTCCTTCCAATGAGGAAGTGCTAAGTCAGCACTTAAAATTATAAGTTTCATTTGTGCCGGCACCGGGGATCGAACTCAGGTTGCTCGAGTAAATGGAATTAAAGGCGAGCGCCCACACACTGAGGCATCACGGCTCTCTCATCACTGTCTTAAAAAAATGTATGAAATTATTAGTTCACCAATCACTATTTGCCTTCGCAGTGGAATTCGAGAAGCATGTGAAAATATTAGAGAAGAAACTTGATAATCCAGTGTGCGAAATCAATCAAGACGACGAGTTCCAATTACCTGAATGTCACGAAGGGTCCAATACAGATTTTGTTTCCGCCTCCGGTGCTATTGAGCTTCGGTGAGATAAGTAGCGTATTGTCCTCCGTAGCCAACTTATTAAATCCACTGTTAAATGGGTCGATGGCTTACTATACGTACTATTTTTTTTTATTGAATATTAGAAACACACACACTGCATAATTATGGCATTTAAATTACAATGAAATAAATAAATCGTTTCCCATTTCAACGAAAACGACCGTCCGTTTTGCAAATTTGCAGACGGAGCGAGACGGCGGGCAGGCACGTGGTGGCAAAGGCGAGCGCCCGACGCGGCGACGTGCTGTTCTCGGAGGAGCCCTACGCTTGGGTCACCCTGCCCGCCGAAGAGCCCGCCTGCGAGATGTGCTGCCAAACGGACATCAACTTAGTGCCGTGAGCATACGCTTGACAATAACACGTATCCCATCAAAATCCATACGAGGATGCGTTAAGTCTGCGGAACGGTAAAATCATCACCATCATCGTCATCATTTCAGCCTGTTTGAGTCCACTGCTGAACATAGGCCTCCTATACTATAGACTGCAACGAAGCACGATCCTGAGCCACCCGCATCCATCGATTTTCCGCCCACTTGCACAGGTCACTCCATCTAGTGGCGGCCACTCGGGAACCTTTCTTGCGAAACGGTTATCATTTCTACGAGCTATATGGTCGGCCCATCGCCACTTCAGGTTACTAACCTTCTGAGCTTTGTCGGTTATCTTTGATTGGTAAGAAGCTTGATGTGGGCATGACACTCGATTTTCTCTATTATCCAAACTGTTGAGTTGAGTTGCAATTTAGTAGGAAGTTGCATAATGTTAGCCGCGATATAGTTCGAAAACTACTGATGCAATTTTGTTTTTCTTCTTTGAAAAAACATGGCCCTCACTTTGGGATAACATTATCCTGTGTTGTAAGGACGTTTTACAAACACAAATTTCACTTGGACAAACATCCAGATGCGAAACATCTGTCTGTTGGTCGCACAAATAGTTGTCCCGTGTGGGAATCGAACCCACGACCCCCAACGCCGAAGCCAATACCTTGGCAACTGTGCAATTGAGACAAAACTTTATATTTAAACAAACTATGAGTCATTGAAAACGTCAAACCTTAACGAGCCTACTACCACCCCTCTTAACCGGCCGCTTAACTTATTAACGCAACTTCGTATCTATGTAACCATCGCCCACTTTTAGTATTTTTTTCTGGAGCCCTCAATATTTTTTACTGACCGTCTATCGCTAATCGAAAACAACTATTGCATTATATTTAAACGTCTAACATTATAAGATTGGTTATTAATGAAACACGCAGTCATTACTGAAAAACTGCCAGTGTTATTGTAATAAAAATGTAGGTAGGTGCATGCAACGCATGTGCGAATTATACTTTCTCACAGCAGATGGAGATAGCGGTATTTAATACTAATTTATTTTGATAATAAATCAAACAGATAGAACACCTAAAATATTTCTCCGGGTCTTCCACTGCTCTCCTCTTAAACTCAAACGTCCACACGTCCGTTACCGTACACGTCGTGAACGATGTAAAATATCTTCCATAACTAGTTTAGACTTAGACTAACTAGAAATAGTGCCATAGGTCGATGGCGTAGGGTCTAATTCAGATTGCAACCTGACGCAGTTGTAGCCGGTGCTCGCGCAGCGTGTACTGCGGGGCGCAGTGCCGTGCGAGCGCCTCGCCCGCCTTCCACCGCTGGGAGTGCGCCGGCGCCCAGTTCGCGCTCTTCCCCACTATAGGCATTGCGCATTTAGCTTTAAGGTACAGTTTCCCGTGCACTTATTTTCCACCGCAAATCTTAATACTGCTCCATTGTATTTTGTGTGATAGGGGCACGGTAGCAAGCGCCAAAGACCTATGCTACCTAGAAGATCTACTGTAGTCTTCTCTTCGACTGTAGGATAACATTATCCTGTGTTGTCCGAAATAATTATCTGTGGGACGTACTGAGGAGACCATATATGGAAATTTCCTACGCCGCGCGCGCGGTCAACAAAGGGCGCGGCGTAGGAAAGAGAGGACATACTCGAAGCAGCGAGAAGGCAAGCGCCGGCGCCGGCCGGCGGCCAACAGTGCCATCACGTCCGCGACGGCGAATGCATGTCTCAGCTTCCTTACGATATAGTTACGCGAGTGCTTATACACAGCTTATTGTTTTTATGTTTTTATCGCCTTTCCTTTGTTTCTTGCCTCTATTCTAACTTTCTATTTCTCTTGTGCTCACGTCTGTACTTCGCTTGTGCTCTGTTTGAACTTTAAATACATAGTGTGGACTTATTTACGTAGTTGTTATTTGCCACGCCCGCTTACCACACTATACTGGTGACCCCGACGTTGGACAATATCGACTGTTATTTACGAGTGAACAACGCAAAACACAATGGAAGCAAATAGATCCGGTAAAGTAATAAGCGGCAGACCTACAGGCATCGAAACCGACAACATCGATAACGGTTCAGTGTTTAAAGTTTCTGTACGCGCGCCGCCATTTTGGCCAGAGGAACCCGCCTTATGGTTCTCGCAAATGGAGGCACAATTTTCCTTGTCTGGAATCACGAGTGACTCAACAAAGTTTAATTATGTAATTGGGCAATTGGAACATCAATATGCTGTGATAGTAAAAGAAATTATTAATAATCCTCCAGCGGAAAATAAATATTTAGAACTGAAAAACGAGCTTATAGTGAGATTGTCAGCTTCGCAAGAAAAAAAGCTGTTGCAACTGCTGAAACACGAGGAACTAGGTGAGAGGAAACCATCACAATTTTTGCGACATTTGAGGACGCTAGCCGGTAAAACTGTGACGGAAGAATTTCTGAAAACAGTGTGGACCAGCCGGTTACCTACCAGTTTACAGACCGTTATCGCGTCGCAACCTAGTGCCACGTTGAATGAGTTGGCCGACCTAGCGGACAAGGTACATGACATAGTACCACAGGCACCTCAGGTTTGTGCGTTAGGTTGTAGAAGCTACATTACGGAGATGGCAAAGCAAATGGCAGAATTAACACGAGAAATAGCTTCACTAAAAGTCCAGTACCACGCGCAGCCATCAAGATCACACAGCAGAGACGGTGGTAGTCGTAGAAGAAGCAGAACACCCTTCCGTCGTCGAGATCGATCGTCATCCAAGCCGAGGGATACAACAATATGCTGGTATCACAACAGATTTGGTGACAAAGCAAGCCGCTGCACCAGGCCTTGCAGCCACCCTAAGGCGGAAAAAAACTTCAACGGCAGCCGGAACTAGCGGCCTACGACTGCCAATCAAAACCGGGCCGCCTCTTCGTAGTGGACAACACTTCTAAGGTACTTTTCCTAGTTGACACAGGATCAGATTTGTGCGTGTATCCGCGCACAGCGCTTAGAGGGCACCGTACGAAGACTAATTATGAATTGTTTGCAGCAAATGGGACTATTATAAACACTTACGGCTCGGTTCGCTTGGAGCTTAATCTGGGTTTGCGCCGAGCGTTCACCTGGAACTTCGTGGTTGCTGACGTGGCAAGAGCGATCATAGGCGTTGACTTTCTATCACACTATAATATACTAGTTGATTGCAGAAACCAGCGCCTGATTGACAACCACACCTCGCTCACCGTTAATGTGCCAGCCCAACCTGGTATAGAGGCTATATCTTCGGTGAAGGTGACAATTGGGGACTCCAGGTATTTAGAAATATTACGCAACTACCCACATATCACTCGCCCTTCAGGCACACCTACGGAAGTCAAGCATAATACTATGCACCATATCCGCACCACGCCTGGACCGCCCGTATCTAGTAGACCTCGACGCCTGCCACCAGATCGTCTCTCGTGCGATCTCTCAAGATCGCACAGAAGGAGTTTGAGGCTATGCTGCGGAACGGCACAGCATCCAGGTCCGAGAGCTCATGGTCGTCTCCGCTTCATTTAGTTCCTAAAAAGGATGACGGCTGGCGACCATGCGGTGATTACCGCGCTTTAAACGCCCGTACTATCCCAGATAAATACCCTATTCGGCATATACAGGACTTTGCTCAACAATTATCTGGGAGTAAAGTTTTCTCCAAAGTGGATCTGGTCAAAGCATATAACCAGATTCCGGTCCACTCAGCTGATATACCCAAGACAGCTATTATAACACCGTTCGGACTGTTTCAGTTCCCATACATGATGTATGGACTCCGGAACGCGGCACAGACGTTCCAGCGCTTTATAGACGAAGCACTCAGAGGCATGGACAACTGTTACGGCTACCTGGACGACATCCTGATCTTTTCCGCAACTGAAGAAGAACACCAGCAACATGTCTGTGAGTTATTCCAACGATTAACAGACTACGGAATACTAATCAACGCCGCTAAATGTGAATTCGGAGTATCGACCATCACTTTCCTTGGGCATGAAGTATCAGTATCATCTGAAGGCATTCGACCATTACCGTCAAAGGTGCAGGCCATTTTGGAATATCCCATCCCCAAGACAGTGAAGGAGCTCCGAAGGTTTCTGGTGATGTTCAACTTTTACCGCAGATTCGTACCAGGTGCATCAGCTCTACAATCACCGCTGAACCTAGTACTTAGCGGACCTAAGAAGAAGGCCTCACAGGAGATTGACATGACGAAGGAGATGTCGGAAGCATTTGAAGCATGCAAGGAAGGTTTGTCCCACGCAGCCAATCTAGCACATCCGAATCCTGATGCTGAACTTGCCATCCACACCGACGCATCAGACGTTTCAATTGGTGCAGTACTACAGCAGCGTGTAAATCGTGGATCCTGGGAACCCCTGGCATTCTTCTCCCGGCGGCTTAAGCCAGCGCAAAAGAAATACAGCCCTTATGACAGAGAGCTATTAGCCATATACGAGGCTATACGGCATTTCCGCCACATGGTCGAAGCCAGGGCATTTATCATATATACAGACCACAAACCTCTAACGTACGCATTCCACTCCGCAAGAGAAAAAAAAATGTTCCCCGAGACAGTTTCGTTACTTGGATTTTATATCACAATTTAGCACCGACATACAGTACATAGCGGGAAAAGACAATGTCGTAGCGGACGCGCTATCCAGAGTGGAGGAGATTCGCAAGCCCATAGATTACGAAGCTTTGGCACAATCTCAGAAAATGGATCTTGAAATGAATGACCTGATGCAGCACGGATCTGGACTCAATTTAAAGAGGATCCAACTACCTGATGTCAACTCTTTTATATATTGCGACATATCAACAGCAAACGCAAGGCCATATGTGACTGATGCTTTTCGTAAACTAGTTTTCAACGCAATCCACGGACTGAGCCATCCCGGTGCCAAGGCGACAACTAAAATGGTGACGCAAAGATTCGTTTGGCCAGGAATCAAAAGAGATTGCCGTCAGTGGGCAAAAGAATGCGCAGATTGCCAAAGAAACAAAATTTCACGCCATACCACATCACCCATATCTCCATTTCCCACTCCTTCCTCAAGATTTTCCCATGTCCATATGGACATAGTAGGGCCATTACCATATTCTTTTGGTTACAGGTACTGCCTCACGGTCATCGATCGTTTCACACGTTGGCCTGAGGCATATCCACTGCCGGACATCACTGCAGAGTCCTGCGCACGAGCATTTGTTGGGGGTTGGGTAGCCCGCTTTGGCTGCCCGAACAAGATCACCACTGACAGGGGCGCACAGTTCACGTCCGAGCTGTTCCGCGCCGTGTCAGCAATCATCGGCTCCGAGCACCGTCCGACTACGTCGTACCACCCAGCATGTAATGGGATGGTCGAGCGGCTTCACCGGCAATTGAAGGCAGCAATTATGTGCCATACCAACACTCACTGGACTGAAGTCCTACCCTTAGTGCTGCTGGGCATCCGCAGCGCCTGGAAGGACGACGTGCAATGTTCAGCGGCAGAACTGGTTTATGGGGGAGCCACTACGCCTGCCTGGTGAGTTCTTTGAGCCTACGAAGGACACTACCGTCGACTACGCAGACTTCGCAGCCAGACTACGGGACCACATATCGAAGTTGACTCCTGTACCAGGTACTCGACACGCTCAAAAGCCTTTCTACATCCCCAAAGACCTCAACTACGCTGACTACGTGTTTCTTCGACAAGGACCAGCAAAGCGAGCATTAGATTCTCCATACACAGGCCCTTACAAAGTCATACAAAGAGGCAACAAAACCTTTAAGATCGACATCAGAGGTAAAGAGAATACCATCTCAATAGACAGGCTCAAACCAGCGTATATTACAAAAGATGCCGATTGCAGAAGTCCCAGCCAGCATCCTCCACCCAACGAACCCACACCGGAGAGCCCAGAACCTGCTACTACTAAAAAAACAAGCAGTGGTCGATCAGTACGATTCCCTGATTACTATCGACCGTAGCAAGCAACGGTCTCGGTGGGGGAGTGTGAGGAGACCATATATGGAAATTTCCTACGCCGCGCGCGCGGTCAACAAAGGGCGCGGCGTAGGAAAGAGAGGACATACTCGAAGCAGCGAGAAGGCAAGCGCCGGCGCCGGCCGGCGGCCAACAGTGCCATCACGTCCGCGACGGCGAATGCATGTCTCAGCTTCCTTACGATATAGTTACGCGAGTGCTTATACACAGCTTATTGTTTTTTATATTTTTATCGCCTTTCCTTTGTTTCTTGCCTCTATTCTAACTTTCTATTTCTCTTGTGCTCACGTCTGTACTTCGCTTGTGCTCTGTTTGAACTTTAAATACATAGTGTGGACTTATTTACGTAGTTGTTATTTGCCACGCCCGCTTACCACACTATAGTGGTCTCGGGTGGAACTAGAGCCCGCGATCCCCGGCGCCGGAGCCAATACCTTGGCAACTGCGCCACGGAGTCATCCAAGTTGTAGGAATGGTGCTGTAAGTTCGAGTGTTTGTACAGCCTAGCCTGTCGCTAGAAAGGGCTGGCTTACAATGCAACAGGTTTTGTACTGTTATTTATACTTTTCTCTCAGGTAATGGGTGGGTAAACGCATACTAACTGTTTTCAGTGTACAACCTCATAAGTTTTTTGAATGTCCACGTATAAAAGTAATAACTCTCCACCAAACGAAACGCTCTTAATAACAACTTTCAAATATTATATATAATCTATCCAAAACTTGTCCGATCAAATACTTATGATACATCCAAAACTTTTCCGATCAAATAATATAATCCATGCAAAACTTATCCGACCAAATACTTATGATACATCCAAAACTTATCCGATCAAATACTATGATACACCCAAAACTTATGCAATCAAATACTATAATCTATCCAAAACTTTTCCGATCAAATACTATAATCCATGCAAAACTTATCCGACCAAATACTTATGATACATCCAAAACTTATCCGATCAAATACTATGATACACCCAAAACTTATGCAATCAAATACTATAATCTATCCAAAACTTTTCCGATCAAATACCATAATCCATGCAAAACTTATCCGACCAAATACTTATGATACATCCAAAACTTATCCGATCAAATACTATGATACACCCAAAACTTATCCAATCAAATACTATAATCTATCCAAAACTTTTCCGATCAAATACTATAATCCATGCAAAACTTATCCGACCAAATACTTATGATACATCCAAAACTTATCCGATCAAATACTATGATACACCCAAAACTTATGCAATCAAATACTATAATCTATCCAAAACTTTTCCGATCAAATACTATAATCCATGCAAAACTTATCCGACCAAATACTTATGATACATCCAAAACTTATCCGATCAAATACTATGATACACCCAAAACTTATCCAATCAAATACTATAATCTATCCAAAACTTTTCCGATCAAATACTATAATCCATGCAAAACTTATCCGACCAAATACTTATGATAAATCCAAAACTTATCCGATCAAATACTATGATACATCCAAAACTTATCCGACCAAATACTTATGATACATCCAAAACTTATCCGATCAAATACTATGATACACCCAAAACTTATGCAATCAAATACTATAATCTATCCAAAACTTTTCCGATCAAATACTATAATCCATGCAAAACTTATCCGACCAAATACTTATGATACATCCAAAACTTATCCGATCAAATACTATGATACACCCAAAACTTATCCAAATACTATAATCTATCCAAAACTTTTCCGATCAAATACTATAATCCATGCAAAACTTATCCGACCAAATACTTATGATACATCCAAAACTTATCCGATCAAATACTATGATACACCCAAAACTTATGCAATCAAATACTATAATCTATCCAAAACTTTTCCGATCAAATACTATAATCCATGCAAAACTTATCCGACCAAATACTTATGATACATCCAAAACTTATCCGATCAAATACTATGATACACCCAAAACTTATGCAATCAAATACTATAATCTATCCAAAACTTATCCGATCAAATACTATGATACACCCAAAACTTATGCAATCAAATACTATAATCTATCCAAAACTTTACTTTTCCGATCAAATACTATAATCCATGCAAAACTTATCCGACCAAATACTTATGATACATCAAAAACTTATCCGATCAAATACTATGCTACACCAAAAACTTATGCAATCAAATACTATAATCTATCCAAAACTTTTCCGATCAAATACTATAATCCATGCAAAACTTATCCGACCAAATACTTATGATACATCCAAAACTTATCCGATCAAATACTATGATACACCCAAAACTTATGCAATCAAATACTATAATCTATCCAAAACTTTTCCGATCAAATACTATAATCCATGCAAAACTTATCCGACCAAATACTTATGATACATCCAAAACTTATCCGATCAAATACTATGATACACCCAAAACTTATGCAATCAAATACTATAATCTATCCAAAACTTTTCCGATCAAATACTATAATCCATGCAAAACTTATCCGACCAAATACTTATGATACATCCAAAACTTATCCGATCAAATACTATAATCTATCCAAAACTTTTCCGATCAAATACTATAATCCATGCAAAACTTATCCGACCAAAACTATAATCCATTATCCGACCAAATACTTATGATACATCCAAAACTTATCCGATCAAATACTATGATACACCCAAAACTTATGCAATCAAATACTATAATCTATCCAAAACTTTTCCGATCAAATACTAAATATGCAAAACTATAAATCTTATGATACATCCAAAACTTATCCGATCAAATACTATATACACCCATCAAAACTTATCAATCAAATACTATAATCTATCCAAAACTTTTCCGATCAAATACTATAATCCATGCAAAAACTTATCCGACCAAATACTTATGATACATCCAAAACTTATCCGATCAAATACTATGATACACCCAAAACTTATGCAATCAAATACTATAATCTATCCAAAACTTTCCGATCAAATACTTATGATACATCCAAAACTTATACGATCGAATACTATATAATCCATACAAAACTTATCCGATCAAATACTATGATACACCCAAAACTTATCCAATCAAATACTATAATCTATCCAAAACTTTTCCGATCAAATACTTATGATACATCCAAAACTTATACGATCGAATACTATATCCGATCAAATACTATGATACACCCAAAACTTATGCAATCAAATACTATAATCTATCCAAAACTTTTCCGATCAAATACTATAATCCATGCAAAACTTATCCGACCAAATACTTATGATACATCCAAAACTTATCCGATCAAATACTATGATACACCCAAAAACTTATGCAATCAAATACTATAATCTATCCAAAACTTTTCCGATCAAATACTATAATCCATGCAAAACTTATCCGACCAAATACTTATGATACATCCAAAACTTATCCGATCAAATACTATGATACACCCAAAACTTATCCAATCAAATACTATAATCTATCCAAAACTTTTCCGATCAAATACTATAATCCATGCAAAACTTATCCGACCAAATACTTATGATAAATCCAAAACTTATCCGATCAAATACTATGATACACCCAAAACTTATGCAATCAAATACTATAATCTATCCAAAACTTTTCCGATCAAATACTATAATCCATGCAAAACTTATCCGACCAAATACTTATGATAAATCCAAAACTTATCCGATCAAATACTATGATACACCCAAAACTTATGCAATCAAATACTATAATCTATCCAAAACTTGTCCGATCAAATACTTATGATACATCCAAAACTTATACGATCGAATACTATATAATCCATACAAAACTTATCCGATCAAATACTATGATACACCCAAAACTTATCCAATCAAATACTATAATCTATCCAAAACTTTTCCGATCAAATACTATAATCCATGCAAAACTTATCCGACCAAATACTTATGATACATCCAAAACTTATCCGATCAAATACTATGATACACCCAAAACTTATGCAATCAAATACTATAATCTATCCAAAACTTTTCCGATCAAATACTATAATCCATGCAAAACTTATCCGACCAAATACTTATGATACATCCAAAACTTATCCGATCAAATACTATGATACACCCAAAACTTATGCAATCAAATACTATAATCTATCCAAAACTTTTCCGATCAAATACTATAATCCATGCAAACTTACGCGATCAAATACTATGATACATCCAAAACTTATCCGATCAAATACTATAAAATATCCAAAATTTGCTCGCTTTAATCTTTGCAGGGTGTTATTACTAAGTGCTAACGAGGGATTCCCAAGAATACCGCGGGCCTTCCCGGAGCCAAAGTCTGCGGCGGAACTGTTCCAGGGCTACGCCAAAGTGGATAATATACACATTTACAAACAAGACACGCCCCCGTTCTATAGGATGTTCAATTTGGTCACAAACTTCGATAAGATGAACAACAACGATTACATTCAGTACGCTCTGGTAAGGTCCCACGATTCGCCTTCAAATACCAATGTCTGTTTTTTTTTTAATTCCGAATTATATTTTTTCCTTGATTACCATCTTAATAAACTCCCTAGACAGATTATTTTCTTTTTAATATTAAATTAAATTCGTTTTCAAAACCTATTTGATAATATGAAGACATAAATTATTTTAATGAGTAATATTTTATATCCGAAATAAAAGTCTATCCGAAACCGTAACCGGACTGTAACGAATAATTTCGGATTAGAGCGCATTCTAAATTTCTCAATAAGAAACGTTATTTGAGGTTTTCGACTGACCTAGCCAACATACTGTTACGTGTTAGGATTCGAAGAATTTGGAAAGAAAGACCTGCTGACTCTTTTGAAGACTTTATTCACTAGCACTAGGTCCAACAGAAAACACTAGGTTGACGCTAGATGGCGCTAGTCTCTTCGTGTTTTGTGTGTTCGTAACAATACTAACCGCATAACTTGCATTGCTTAGTTAGTAATGCCATATTAAGGATATGCAATCTTTAAAAACCATCTTACAAACTTGAATCGATAATTAAAAACATAATTTCTTTCTACATTTAGTTCGCTTATCTACAATAGAACATGATTTTTTAATTTTTTTTTTAACTATTACTACATACTAACGTATGTTATAAATATATGGGGTATTGTTTCTATAAATTAAATTGATAATAAAAAGTAAAATAGTGTAATTGATGATGAAAATGTTTTAGTCTGTTTGTATTTTCTTTTACAATTTGACCGAAACTATCGGATTAACTTAGAAATTGTTTTATATTCTTAGCCGTACCCGGAACTGGTTCAACCTTATTCATATATCTGTATCGATGTCCAGATCCGAAATTTCATATCCATACATCCCCAGTTATGACGTCACAAAAAGAAAATCTTGGTCTACTGTAAAATCCTATGCTATAATCAACATCACTAAGGAAAGCCAATATTTTTGGTGCTATAATCCTTTTTTTTTAAGATTTTTTTTTATAGTGCACTTAAGATTGAACATTAAAACATGTAGAAAAAGTACGAAAAGATAGCTATAATCCTTATTAACATCCTATAATCCTTATTAAAATTAAAGTAACAAAGCGCTCGTTGCTCACGCGAAAACTATATATTTGCTTCCAGACAGCGACCATGCTAATCAACTACCTGGAACATTTCACCACATTCTTTGACTACCTGCCCAGTAAAGTGCCTTACAGGCTGTCCGGGGGACAGCTGCGGCTGTTCGCTGGCGCTCTTATTTTGCGTAGCCTGGGCCAGCTGGTGTGCAATGGCCACGCCGCTCTTAGCCTCTGCACCGTCGAGGAAGACGACGGCCTCAGCGGTAAGAAACGGAGAAACTTAACCAGCCACTTTTTTTTTATAAAACATTGCCCGTACTTTAAGATAACTTTATCCTGTGTTGTAAGGACGTTTTACAAATATTAATTTCACGCGAACAAACACCCAGATGCGAAACAACTATCTGTGGGTCACACATATAGTTGTCCCGTGTGGGAATATAACCCATGACCCCTACGCCGAAGCCAATACCTGGGCTACTGCGCCACGGAGTCATCGATTAATGCCCGGTTCCTATATTCAATTAACGGCTCGTTAGTTACATAGCTTCATAAGTTTCATAACGACTTGTGGATTAAAGGAACGCTTTCAATTTCCGTAGGTAATGCAATGGCTCGTAAGGAAAACGCCTCGTTTTGTTAATATAGGGCGTACACGCCTTTAATCTATAAAGTCGTTATGAAAGTTACGAAGCTATGTAACTAACGACCGTCCATTGAATATAGGAACCGTTGTAATCGTCTGCTGGTAAGTGATGCAGCCAACTGACTCAACTGGCTGCCAAGTCTTGGTAGTTCAGATAAATTGAGGACGTGGTACTCCGCCGGATGAGACAGACTTTAGAGTCAATGTTGAGCTACATGCATATTTGGACTGATCTGGAGATGAACATTTCCTTGAACATGTTGCATTCACGCCCATATTACGGTGGAACGACTTCGTAGCTGCTTAAAAATTTCAGGGAGGACGATAACTGAGCGGGAAGTGAGGAAAGCGACCGCCATTTACCCGTCGGCCGCCATGATGAACCACTCGTGCGATCCGAACATCATCAATACGTAAGTAGTCACGATCAACACGTAACATCTTTTTACCACTCTTTACTTTATTTTTAGGAACCGCGTCAATAATACCACGCTACCGGCAAAAAAGCACGAGTGTAAAGCGGCGTTTAAATTGCAAGCGGGAATTTTCTTTCCAAATCTGCAACTTTCGTGCAGCCAATCGGCTTAGTCGGTCAACGCGCGCCGCATACATTGCGCCCGGAGGCCCAAAACTCGACTTCCGAAGTAACGGTCAACGTGTGCACCGTCTGACCGGCTTCGGCTCGGCGCAGGTTCTACAAGAAGCGTCTGATAGTGCGCTGCGCGAGCGGCCTGCCCGCCGGCGCAGAGGTGCTCAACTGCTACGGGCCGCACCGCGCCCGCGAGCCGGCGCCCCGCCGCCAGGCGCAGCTGCGGGCCCAGTACATGTTCACGTGCGCGTGCACCGCCTGCCGCGACGCCGAGCGGCGCGACTTCGCGGTGAGCGACGCGGGCCATTGACGCGCCCCCCCTGACTGCGCCCCCACCAAATAACGCGCGGTCGTTAAATACTACCCTTTCAATGCCGGGTACCTATATCCAACGAACGGCCGTTAGCTGCGTAGCTTCGTAGCTTTCATAACGACTTGTAGGTTAAAGGCGTGTACGCCCTGTTCCCATATCAACTAGACGAGGCGTTTCCCTTACGGGCCTTTGCATTACCTACGGAAAGTGAGTTATTAGCGGTCCTTTAATCCACAAGTCGTTGTGAAAGCTACGAAGCTACGTAGCTAACGGCCGTTCGTTGGATATAGGTACCCGGCAATGAAAGGGTAGTATTTACCCGGCGTAAATGAGCTAGGGTCACCAAACGGACTATAGTGAGATCTACGCTCGGTTTCTTTGCATGACAGACTAGGATATCCGCTGAAAAACCAGAGTCAGCGACTTAGCTCTCGGGGTTTACAAGCTGCGACACGGGGCAGGCCACGTAGCTCGACTGGTGACCGATGGGGGATAAAACTGGAGGCTTTTGTTGAACAGTCCACATCTTCCATGATGATGATGATGACATAACTCAATTAGGCGCTAGTTGCTGCAGTTTCGATATGGACGCTGATAGTAAATGAAATAGCTTTATCGGTCGTATAATTCTTCTTTCCTCTCCTGCCTTTAAACCACCTAAGTGGAGTCTGAATAATGTTTATGGGCTAGATTTTTTATAGCCGCCAGTCTGACTTCGATTTGGGGATAAACACCCGCAGCCGGAACAATTATCCGTGGATCTCACAATCACTTGTGTCGTATGGGAATCGAACCCGCGACCATTCGTGCCGAAGGTAATACCCTAACAACAGCGCGACCGCCGTGTCATCATCGTCAACTCTTTAAATAGACTCAAATGCGCAATATCAAAATAATCTAAATGGCCCTGACTTTTTTTATGTGAGAAGGTGGCAAGTGAGGTGGTGGTTCACCTGATACTAAGGGGGAACCGCCGCAGACGCGTTGCCTTTTAACAAAGCGGCCCCCTGCTACCTCACTCCCCGGACGTAACGCAGTAGCATGACCCTTCCACTCCACGCCGGTCTTCTGTGAGCTTGTCCTGTCTGTGTGGTTTGTCCATCCGTTCAAGAGAAGACCGTTGCGTGGCGCCACCGCATTCAGAAACGCCCTCCCATCACTGTGGTGAGTGAATTGGCTCGCGGTTCTCAGCTTCTGTTCTCCGCGTACGTGTGCCAGTCCTGCAAGAGCCCCGTGGTGCTGAGCGGGCAGCGGGCCCAGTGCCGCAACTGTTCCGCCGCCCTGCAATTAGACCGGGCACTGTCCATCATCGACCGCGCCGAGGACCTCGCCCTGCAAGGTATATGGTGAACGAATGAATGAATGAATGGGTGAATGAATGAGTGAATGAAAGAATGTCTTTTATCTCCTAGTTCCACGGAGAACCACACAGTGCATGGCGTTACTTGAATCCAGTAAGAGGGGAGTAGGACCCTTGCCTCGACGAGTCGCGTGGACAAATAAAACTAATTCAAACCCCGCCACCTATGTAAGTCCGGACTAACTGAAGCATTTGGACTTGAAACATCTCAACCTGTTGCACCTGCCTCCTTTTTTTGTAATTTTTGTTAATCGCAAACTAAATCGGTAAATTACTTCTATATATAACAATTTGTAAATCATTACGCAGTGAAATTGGCTCATTTTTTATACAAATTTTAATGACTATGCGGGGTGCAATCAGCAGAACCGCTCGCTTGGCAAAGCTTAAAACAGGATCGTCGAATACGTACACGTAGCCGTTCTGCGTAGTGCAGACAAGGCTAGTATGGGCAGGTCCGTCCGGGTAAGTACCACGACCTCGCAGGAGACCGGCGTCAAGTAGAAGTGTTACACTTCTGCGTTTCGTCTGGTGGGTGAGGTAGCCCGGGGCACACTTTATTTAAAGGTGGCAACGCATCTGCAACCCTACGCGTTGCAAATGTCCATGGGCGGCGGTTGTCTCTCAACATCGGACGAACCGCCAGCCTGTTTGCCACTTAGTGGTGTAAAAAAAAGGTTTCGCGCGCCGATATAGAGCAGTGCGTCTGCGCCCGCAGGCGAGCAGGCGTCCAGCGCAGAAGAGAGGTGCGAGAAGATGTACACAGCGTACAGACTGAAGCAGCAGGTGTGGCATCGGCACCACACATCGCTGCGCGCCGCCGCCGACCGCCTCGCCAGGCTGCACGCAGACCTCGGTAAGCAACAACCCGCCATCGGCTCTGAGGCAGTGTTACCATCTACTTAAAGAAAATGACCCTAAAATCGGGATGAGATTACCCATAAACAGCCTGCCCGTTCGTGCAACAGCGAACACTTGCGTGGTCCACCTGATTCATTTATGTTTATTGATTAAGTAGTGATCGTTCGGCGTTTATTAAATGCGTCCGTCTCTCAAATTACCACACTGCGTATAAATATCTCCTCATATTAGCGTTAACATAATTAACATTAAACTCAATCAAATTTACAGGTGATTACAGCAAAAGTGTAGAACTTATAAAACAAAATGTGCAGAGTCTTGAATACCAGTTTGGTTCCTTTAGCGTCGAGGTGAGTTATTAAAAGTTAATTAAACCTACCTTTTAAATAGTAGTTTACGTGTAAAGAATATCTTTCGTAATTTTAACTGTAGTATTCATAAATTATTATTTTTTTAAAGTATACATTGCCTTAAATGCTAAAAAACAATGTAGATAAAAGACGTTATGATTTTCTTCGGCAATCAGCCGTTTAGCTTAGTGGCTAAAGCGTCAGGCCGCGAATGCCGAAGACGTGGGTTCGATTCCCACGTCTCGCGGCGACAATCTTTTCGTACTTTTTCTACAAATTTTAATGTACTATTCATATTTAGCACTTACATAAACCAAAATTGCTCAATGATCTTAGGTAGCGCACGAGTTAAGAAAACTTTCCGACGTGATGCTGGAGAGAATCTTCAAGATGCCTGGACATCCCGATTACAGGTAAATTCACAAAGATTAATTATTAAGAGACCATAAAAGTTGTTTCGTATGCCGCCTTATTTTTGGGTTTCGCAATACTATCACAGCCTAATTTCTTACGGACACACAAGTGACATAGACATAATTCGATCCACTTTTGTTTTTAAAATGTATTTGAATGTGTTTACATTGTTGTCGATAGTATCAACGGCGTACGGGAAGATAAGCTCTTACGATGCATGTGATCGTTGAAAACTGCCCCATCTCTTTGTTTTATGTAATAAGGTGATAAGCGAGCTGGCATCTCACCTGATGTAAGTGATAACCGCCGCCAACAAGCATTTGCAACATTGTGCCAACCGTAGGGTGGCAGATGCGTTGCCAATATTATTGATTATGGGGCCGTCCATTTTTAGAATATTATCTTTAAATTAGAGTATAATCTAATTTTATCCCGAAATTACCGACCATGATAAAAAATTTTACGGCGAATTAGTCAGATTTGTTTTTTTTTTGTTCTGTAATCTAATAAATAAAAAAAATAAACACACGTGATATCTTACTACACCCCCCTTGCCCCCTTGTGGTATTTCGTGATTTATGCCAACCCCTCTTCCCCCCACCCCCCACCCCCTTGTATCCTCACGTGATTGATGGACGGCCCCTACGCTCGTCGGCAGGGATTGGTGCCTGGAGGCCCACAAGGTGATCAAGAAGGCGGTCCAACTGATGGAGCTCAACTACGGGCACTGGGAGGTGCTCGTGAAGCGGCTGAGAGAGCAGGAGGCCTTCGTCGCGTCGCTACTCGCCGAGAGCCGCACCCCGGAGACGGCCGACTGCGTCCAGCCACAATTTGCATTACAACCTGAAGATATGAGCGTGCTACAAACTGGCCCCGTCACGTGGGGCCCGGTCGTGTATACTTCTAAATTGGGAACCCGTTCATTTTCCATAATCAGAAATTTATATCGGAAATAGCACACTTAAGAAGACCATTAGATATTAATTGTAAATGCTGTTGGTTACACCATAAGCTCTTTCGATTTGAATTATATTTTCTTACTCCTTGTGATTTACTGTTTTAAAGTGCGGAGTAGAGTAAATACTATTCGCTGTTATTGTATTGTTTCTTTTATACATCGTATCAATCTTAGAGATATCGAATTCGTTTATTCTCTCTACTCTCCGCTTTAATGGTTCCTCTATTGAAATTTTAACTTTAGTAATTCTCGATTTACATGTAAGTTTATCGAATAATATGATCGAACGATAAACGAAATTGTCGACAGTTTTAAAGTCGCGTAGTAAACATAAGCTGAACACTCATATACATGCAATTATATCAGTGTGCTATAACATACATCGTATTTTGACTAATAGTTTGTCTTATAAAGTAAGTAGTGTAAGTATCGTAATCTTAAAGTTATGTTTTTATAATATATTATATGGAATATATATAATACAAGGATTGATTGTACGAATAGAATGAATGAATACGTAATAGACGAATGATATTTTTCAATTACACTCAGATGTCTGTTAGTTTTAATTATTTACATTACTTACCGCGGTGGTGAAAATATGTCTTAGCATTGCCCCGTCTCTACATCTATCACAAGATGTATTGTACTGGACCTTCATATACATTAACACAAATGTGTGATTTTGCTAATATACCTGTATTTAATATTAATACCTATGAATTAAATTATATTAACTTAATAAATTCGAAGATATTATCCACGTTCCATGTTCTGTATATCCAAAGAAAATTTTTATATGGCCACTCGAAAATAAACGGTTCAAGTAATATATTTTTCTTTTACACATTAGAGACTATTATAAATAGCATAACAAGTTATCTTATAATGTAAACTAAGTGCTTGAACGTGTTGACTCGCGGGCGCGGTCACGAAATATCAAACATATGACTTACGCCCGGTTTCTGAAACACTGATCATCGTAGATGTCAACTAATCAGCCGTCAAATAGCTTTTCAAATTTCATTTTGCCAAAAGTACGGTTAAACTCTCTGAATTGACCAGAATGATCTTCTAATGATCAGAATGATCAAACTCGGGTGTTCACGTACGAAATTCACGCGCGGTCTAAGTAGCGGGCAACCTGCGGCTGGCGTGACACGTTTGTGCGTGTTTACGTCGAACTAGCGGCGGAGCGCGCCATTTTGAACTTGTCGCTAGAAATGATGGCACGTTTTTTATGTCTTCTTTTGAAATGACGCTCCTTATTTAATCCAGTATGTAATCAAAACAGTTTAGTCATTCTGGTACATCCAAAAAAATCGTTTAAGGATGTTCTCTCAAATTACTATATAAAGTGTAAAATTAACCATACCATTCTTTATTAATTTGTTGCGCACCAATTCTAATTTTTAGTATCCTCCACTTTAGTGAGTTTTCGGTTAAGAATATAAGATCGTTGTCAATGTTTTCAACCTCTGAAAACACGTCAAACTCGCGCATACGCCTGCCGGCTAAGGTGAACACAAGATCGCGAAGTCTACCGCGTTCGCACTCGCCACCGCGAGTTGATTCTACATGAACAAGCACTAAACCTCAAAGGAATCTGGAGATCTCAAAATCTTCCGAAGTAGTCTTTAAAGCCCTTTAAACCCTCTACTGATAACAAAAATCTCATGGTATGGTTCTCTTATGTTACAACGACAAACGAAACTGTTTGCCGGCATTTCATGATTAAAATTACAGTGGTAATTTATATTATTATTAAAACTAACATTTCTAATCCATTCTTTACTTCATATGAACCCATATATATCCAAAGTAATTTCGATTAAAATTTGTTTCGGCGCATACGAACCCATTTATGACGTAGATTTTTTTTTGTTTTTACAATTGTTTTTTTTAATTTCGATTGTAATTAATTGATTGATTGTAATTATTTTTATACTTAAAAAAAGCAAAAACTGCCATCAAATATTTTTTTCAGCATTTTATTCATAATTTATGCAGTAAAGGGTTAACAGCTTTCGCATCGGAACAAACAAATAAGAAAATATGGCTATTGTTGACCAGGTCAGATAACATCTTGAGACAAATATTTTAGAAATTTAAATTGTTTATAGTGCTAATCTTTGCAGTTAAGATTGAACATTAAAATATGTAGAAAAAGTGCGAAAAGATCGCGAAAATCTTAACGCATTCTTCCACATTGTTTTCTTAGCATTTGAAGCAATGCTTGGCGCCATCTATTGTTATATCCTTTCCAGCATACAAACAACTTCGAATATCGTTTTACAACGATAATTCGAACGAGAGATGTCGCCATTGCTTTTTTAGAAATTTAAATTGTTTATAGTGCTAATCTTTGCACTTAAGATTGAACATTAAAATATGTAGAAAAAGTGCGAAAAGATTGTCGCCGCTGTGGGAATCTAACCCACGTCTTCGGCATTCGCGGCCTGACGCTCTAGCCACTGAGCTAAACGGCTGATTACCACACCGACGAAAACAAATATTTTAGTTAAAACAATAAGATCAATCCCTCATGAAATCAATAGATTTGATTAAAAAGTAAAAGTAAAGTAACAGCCTATACATGTCCCACTGCTGGGCAAAGGCCTCCTCTATACAGAGCGTATCAGGGCATAGTCCACCACGCTGGGCCCATTGCGGATTGGTGGATTTCACATATCTTCGAAATATATATTTTTTGTTATTATTTCGAAAATATGCAGGTTTCTTCACGATGTTTTCCTTCACCGCGTAGCACGTATAAGTCAGCACTTAAAACTTCATTGGTGCCGGCACCGGGGATCGAACTCAGGTTGCTCGAGTAGATTGAATTAAAGGCGAGCGCCCGGACACTGAGCTATCACGGCTCTAGATTTTATTACTCATATCCAAACTAATTGACCGCAATTTCGTTAACATCTTGTTGATTGATAATTGAAAAATGAAAATTTTAAAGGTGGCAACGCATTTGCAACACTACGGGTTTTGCAAATGTCCATGGGCGGCGGTTATCACTAACATCATGAACCGCCAGCTTGTTTGCCACTTTCTCACATAAAAAGAATAGGTTAAATATATAGCTAACTTATAAGAGATTTCAGTAATGGCCTAGGCGTAAATTATTCGGTTGACTATAGCCGCTGTGGCGGCCTTTTAATTGCGCATTCAAAACAAAATCAAAACATTTTTGGAATCAATTTATTTAATAGATAAGGTAGGTATCATCAGTGCCACTGACACACACATGCCAAGGGATTGCTATAATGATCTACTAAAACATCACGACTATACAATAATTAAGCTAAATAACTATACAATACAACAGTGACAAATTAAAGGTTTTTTTACAATAGCAGATTTTACGGAACATATATATTTGAATGTCATGCTACAAGTTCTTACCCGATGGGTAGCGAGCTTAAAAAAACTGTATATAGATAGTTATTTCGGATAAAATGGATATGATTTTTCTATTCTTAAAATTAATGTGACATCAATATGTTGAAATTGCAAAAAACTATTAAAAACGCGTTAAGCGTGGCGAACGTGTACATCGAAAGCATTTAAGTTATATGACGCAGAGATATAAGATTCAATAATTATATTTTAACATTCTACATGCAACCATTAGAGCTATTAATCGTATATAGTATATACTGTATACGGTGTTATAAATTAAAAAGATTTTATTTGTATATCAATCGAATTATTTTAGAGTTACCTCGAATCAAGAAGTGCTGCTATTCGTTTACAGATATTATTGCTTATTCTATGCACTTGCGAAAAAATGTCTGATAATGCTTCTATTTCATAGAAATATAATTTACATAGATATAGATACATATATAATATTTTTACATTTACACAATGTATAAGGGACAAAATAATGACGAAAGGTACAATGACTCTGTTCAATGAAACACAAAACAAAACACATATTTTGCTGATAAGAAGGTATTAATCTACAAAATTCAAGTGATCCTATATAGTTTATAGAGAATACTACCTTTCTAACTTTATGGTAGATGTAATAAATAATCATGATAAACAAGTAACTTCTTCGGTTTAAGAGAAAATCCATTAAATGCATACATTTTATAAGATTCTATAGTCTATAAATTCACAATAATTAAAACTGTTTTATATAATGTTATGAGCGTTATATTATGAAGTTATTGTATAAATCATAATACAGCTCCATGCAGCATATTAATGGTGGAAAGTTTCAACATAATACATTCAGATAAGTACGAAAAAATACTCCAAATAAGTCCACATTGTAGGGCATAGTTTTTTATAAATCCTGTTGGGATACTTTAATAAGATTAAACTATAAAATAAAAATCTTAGGTTTTTTTTTTTAATAAAGAAATCTGCTGGAAAAGAAATTAAACACAAATAGATTCATGATAGTCCAGCAGAGTACCTTAATTTTCAGAAAATGCAAGTTATCCAGCCACCCATATTTTCTGATCTAGCCAACTCATTTGCCAGATTTTATATCTAATTTTCAACGACATTCAAGAAGAAAATCTCTTTCCTATTTCTAAATTATAACCATAATCATGATTTTTTCTACATTCTTAATAATTGTATTGCATTAAATCACAAACAGCTGTATACTACTACTAAAAACATCAAGTTCTTTTTAAAAGCAAATAAATTTGTTGAAGTAGTGCTTAGTTATCGAAGTAAGTACAATATTTCAGGTAAAATATTATATATACTATTATATATTTACATTTAAAATCTAAAACCTAATAAATGGAATTAATCCTAATTAGCACATTTAAAGGACAGTGTAAGGAATGGGTGAAGGTGCTATTATTATTTTTCTCCATTCTATTTTTTAAATTTTTATTTTTTTTACAAAATCTATTTATACTGTACTCGGCAATAAATACTACACATCAACCTATTATATAGCTGGTTATCTCTTTCCAAAGGTGAAGAATATGCAATATTTATCGCAGAATACTGTCGTATCTGTTGAAGGCTTGCAGATTAACAAAAAATTATCAAACAGCTTATATTCAAGTTGAAAACTGATTTATACTAATTAATAACAGGCATAATATTGCTTTACTGTTACAGATTGCTTTTACTACACTCAGAAACAACCATACATTCTATGTAATGCCATTGTCACAATTTTAAAATCAATAAATTAGAAGTAGAGCTCAAAGCAATTCTATTTTAGCCGTCACATTATTAACACCAACTTCCCAAGTACTCTAGGAACATAATTGTAAATTGTGACTGTAGATAAAATACGAGTTCATATTCTTACGACATAGAGTTATAATATAGACACAAATAAGATATTATTTAATATCTACTTGAATAATTTGAAATTGAACCACTTGAGATTGAATAGTCACAAGCCTCATATTTGTCAATCTCAGGCCAAACCCCTTTAATAATAAAGAGAGATCATTTAAATCCTTTTGTTAAATTATGAAAATACATAAGCCAATGAAGCATTAACTATTATAACATGACATCATCTATATATTCAGAAACAAAATTAACCCGGTAAGCGTAAAAGTCCAATAGATATACATGATATTTTACAGGTATGCATACAACACTCTCTTTTCACGGCGTTTTCACCTTGTGAAACAATATGCAGCAATATAATAAATACTGCTTAATTAAAATATAACGCCAAAACCCAAAAAATTATTTGGCTTTAGAACGAAACTGTTTAATAATAGCGTTGTGCGAGCTTATGTCCCGCCATGTTCGGTGCGTCATTGAACAACATAATTTGATATGACGAGAAATATGAGTTTAAACCAAGCGCAGGATAAGCTTGTCATCATAGCTTACTTCGTCGTCCTCCGGCTCCTCTTCCTCCTGTAAAACAATTATATTTTATAACTAAAACAAATTATCCCCTGGCATGGAGAGTTCGTCAAAGGAACTATCAGAGGAAAGGATAGTTAGTAAGAATTAAAATATATTTTATTCAAATAATGAGACGTCTTATCAGTTTATACCAATGAATGCACATGGTAAAGATTTAAGCACATGAAACAGGCTACCATGGTCAGTTTCAGTAAAATTTGAAAATAATTTTTCAATCTAATCATAAAAATAGAACATGATTTCTTACATCGAATCCGAAACACGTGTCTACGTCCTTCTCCAATTTAAGGCTCCTTTCCATATCTTTCTGCTTAGTTTGTTCTTTCTCAAGGATGATCAAATCTTTCCTGTCCTCCTCGATAGGGTCTTCTTCCTCTTCTTCTTCGGCTGCGTATTAACATAAACAATTAAAACATACCATTTGTCTAGGCCCTATCCTTTTCCTATACAATGACTACTAATAATTTTTCATTTAAAAAAGAAACACATTTTATTCGAAAATATATTTTGTCGGTTAAAATGAGTGTAATTATAACAGCGAAAACACTCTTAAAAAAATTCTAGGTATATAATGATTTGATACAACAGCTTTAGTTACATGATCTTAACCAATCAATTTTTTATGCCTCCCTAATATCCGCATTTATTATTATAAACACAAGTTCTATTATCAAATATGATATGTGTAACAATTTTACTAGCGTATTTATTGTTTTCTTTATATATACATAAGTTATTAATTTTCTTTATACGTTTTCAGAAAAAATAAATATGTTTGCTTGAAATCAACTAGGGACCTGCCCCAATTTTGTACAAGTAATACAATCCTCACAAAAATGTCTCATTCCCATCGATACCCAGATGAATTTAATTTCAATGGATAAGTTTAAATGTATTTACGTTGCTCCTCCTCTTCAACGTAATCCGGGGCCACGACTGCCACTTGCTGCTCGGTGCCGTCCTCGAGCTGTATGACCTCCAGGACCACGTACTGCTGGCCATCGCCGTCGGCGACTGTCACGTATTCGCCCCGCTTCAACTCTTTGTTGGTGATCTCGACTTTCACATTCTCACTCTCTTGCTCATTCTCAGAATCCTCGTCCACATGCTACAGTAAAAAAATCAATTGTCAATTGTAACTAAACAGTTAAATCAAATATGAGATAGACGATATATGGTGTTATAGCAAATGTCATGTTAATTAAATCGACCATCAAATTATTTTGCACCTTAACAGAAACAATAACAAATTACATTGGATACTAAGAATTTCGCTTTGCTTATTTTGTAAAAAAATTAATGAGTGCTGTATGCTGTACCAATACCCTTTTTCATTTAATTTCGCTACTTTGGGTTAAACTTAAAAGTGACATGAATCAGTATAAAACGGAAATGTATTTAAAAAATCTTGCAATTGTAAATTCGCTAAGAATGATTAGCATTTTAGGTTAATCATATTCAATCACGTCAAAAACAAAATGACGAAATACTGTTTATTATGCAGGATACCCAAGACATTAAGTGAAACTCAAATAACAAATTTAAAAAGGTTCAGCCATGTACAGCTTGGATGACATCAAATGTAAAACTAATATTTTTAACTAAATTTATGGTAGAGATATCACAATTCTATACTCGTATTGTGATGAGACATTATCCCATAAGAGTTTTTCATAAATATTCAATGCTTAAAATATATATTGCAGAGACTTTTCAGAATAATTTAATGGATAGTTAGTGGCATAAATGATACTGACATATACAAAAAAATTTAATTTAGAGTATATGTTAGTTAATGTGGTATGATATGAAATTTCAAAAGTTTCAGTTCAAAAGTTTCAGTTGAAAATATTATAGGTATCACTCGCAATTTAACAAAACATATGCATGGTAAAATACAAATTAAATAAAGCATACAACAATAGAATGATATATTCAGTTATTACTCATAAATAGTGTTTGAGAGCACAGCTATAGTGTTTTCCACAATGAAATTATATTATTCATAAAGAATTTACTACAATATTTTCATTATGGAATTAATGAACTGTAAAAGTCCAGTGGAATTCTTAAATAACAATCTCGGTTAAAACGACTTTTCGGTTATTGCAACGTCAGACTTGTAATTAAAGCATACTTTCGTAGGAAATTCATTCGGCAATAGCAACTTCGAGTATAGCGCTGATAGGTATGGGGACTTTTTGTTATGAACCATTTATGACAAATTCCTAGAATTTCCATGCGCAGCAAATGAGTCGACAAAAGCACAAAGATTAATTCATAAAACTGTTAAGCTTTCTTATCCTTTGTTTACATTTACAGATGGCTAGATGGCCTTGCTTTGTTTGTAGTTTGTAGGTAGGACTTAGAATGTGTAAAAAGTTGAACATATGAATCAGTTACGCGCTTACAACGCTAAAAAAGTACTGTTTCTTTGATGAAGGCAACAATCATTTGAATATTGAAGAAATTATGAATGAAAAAATGGAATACACTTTACAGCACATCCACTGTACTTCAAAATAACACAGAAATATATAAAATTTACGCTAGGTTTAGAAGGCCATGTTACTTCCCCAGACAAACCTGCCTATCCATATAATAGGAGGAACGACTGCATGAATCTGTGGTACAAAAAAACCCACTACTCTACAAGACACCCAACCATAATAATCACATTATGAGGAACATGAAAATCGTTCTTAGGTATGAGCAGTTTATAGTAAAGTTAAAATATAGTTAAGTTAAATCGTCAAACAGCCAATATGCCAAAAACATTAATTTAGTGAATTAAATGGATATAGTGGTGATATGGCACCTATTCCTAACTCTATTCATTTGTTTTGTAAACCGAATCAAAATTTTTATTATCTTTGTGTTTTGGCATCCAACAAAAAATATAAATTAAATGAACATGTTTAGGAGTAGACAACATTAGCTACTCCCATTCAAGATCATCTCAAATAAAATCTTAATTGGATCATGTTTTCGCTGACAGTCATCAGAAAATAGTGAATATTTTAATTTTGTTTTATTCTTATTTTTGAATCCAACCATTACATAACAAAACTTTGTAATTTCTGCTTGTAACATATCCGAAAAAACATCCAATTAAATAAATAATTTTCTTTAAACATCAGTGTAACATTAATCTCACTAGTACTAAGGCCATATATACAACAGCTCCGTCGCTTAGATATCGTTGGTAGCAAGAGATCGCATCGCTGCCGAGCTATGGTGGGTAATGGGTAGTGATCGAGGAGGCACCCACCTTCAGTTGACCGCTGACGTATTTGACCTTCTTCTGGCGGCCAAGCTTGAGGGAAAGCACGCGCTCTTGGTGGCCTGAATCCGGGTCGTGGACGGCCAGGTGCCGAATCAGGTTGCCCTTATGCGCGAATGTGCGGTGGCACTCATGGCAAGTGTGCGTCTTCTCTTTGGGCGCCTTCGGCACGTAATCCGGGTTGTGGTACAGGTTCTGGTGGCGGCGCAGCAACTGCTTCTGCCTGCGCGAACGGTGGTACACGACATATCAGTACGGGTAACGGGCTGCAGCCTTATGCACATAATAGATTCGCGATTTCAACGCACCTGAAGGACTGATCGCACTGATCGCAGACAAAGGGCTTCTCGTCTGTGTGCTTCAGCATGTGAGATTTGAGATGTCTCAATGTGGTTGATGCGTACATGCAGAGGTCACACTTGTAGCACTTCTCGCCCTCGTGGGTCTGCAAGAGATAAGCATGGTAAATTGAGTCAATCTCAAATGGCGTAACTATGACTACCAACTTTAGGAGTGCTCAGAAATGAATGGGTGTATGCTTTAATACATTTTATGTATAATAGTTGTTTATTTGTAGATGCATCAACTTATAATAATAAAATAATTGACATCCACAAAAAACTAAGTGTAAACATTTTCAAACATTTGTAAAAGCTACCCACCCGAATGGAAAGGAACTTATTATAAAGTAGAAGAATATATTGAAGACAAGGACATATAAAAATGACTATTTTTCTGCCCTAACCAAACCTGAATGAAAAGGAACTTATTATATAGTTGAAGAATATATTGAAGACAAGGACATATAAAAATGACTATTTTTCTGCCCTAACTAAACCTAACAAAACATTTATACATAAAACATGTATATATAACTTAAAAAAAAAAGTAATAACAAAACTGAAGAGTTACTTACCTGAGGTTCTTCTCTGGATAGGTGTAAATTAATGAACTGGTGATAGCTTTGATGTTTAGAAGGGATTAAAAGAAACTTACATTAAATTAATAAATTTTGTTTAAAAAGTATTAAAAGAAAGGAATAGTTTTTGATCATTAACTTCACAAATCCATTTTCATTCATTCTAGTTTGGAAAATGGGATGGAGTGCTCACTGACCTTGTTATGAACTTTGCACGAATATCGATCGGGGAACGACTTTCCGCATCTCTTGCACTTCAGTGGTTTGTCAGATGTGTGCAGCTTCTGGACGTGGATCCGCAGGTCGGTCTTGCGGCCGCATTTTGTGGGGCACAGCTCGCATGCGTACACCGGTTTGTCGGCAACTGGCGGCACAAGTGCACAAGAATGGAGACATCGAGGGAATAAGAAACACTGTCATAGATACATTTTTATTTTGGTAGGGCCACACAAAAGCTGCTATTGCACGAATGGGGAGGTCCGTCGGGGTAAGATTCACGACATCACATAAGACCGGCATGAATTGGAGGTGTCATACTTCCGCGTTTTTTCTGCAACCCTATGGATGTTGCAATGTCTATGAACGGCGAATATCACTTAATATCGGGTGAAACGCCAACTCGCTTTTCCTCACATAAAAAAAATGCATTTTAAAATGAACAATGTTCATTATTAAACCTTTAGCTTACCATTGTGGATAAGTTTATGAGCCTTCAATGAGTTGGACTGCGTGAAGCACAAGTTGCAATGTTCGCACTTGTAGGGCTTTTCCCCGGTGTGCGTACGGAGATGACGCTTCAGCTTGAACGTGTCCGGGGAGGCATAGGTGCAGTGCGGGCACTAGGAGGCATAGAACAGTATCTAAGTTGAATTTAATAAAGATATCATTGCATTACAAACACGAAGAGCTTCAAACAGGAGGCTGCCTCCTTCGTCAGGGGCATTGATTTGACTATTTTAAGAGTATTTCACTTGTAACTAAAAACTGATTGCATCTTGCAAGCCTACATTGAGGGTTTTCTCTTTACACATTTTGCTTTGAATATATTTCAGAACTTCGCCATTGATTTTAGTTTAAATAATTCTTGTTTGGTCCCACTGTATGTTCAGATATTGTTGTGACTAACGAAACCTTAAAATTAGTAAATAAAACTATAACTTCATCTATGCCCTCGACAATACAGGAACTTGAGAAGCCAATTCATTCAAGCATATTCATTCAGGCATATGTAAGTTTTAAGACTTTCGTTTACATTTACGTTGTGTAAAGTTAAAAGGTATAATTAATCGTGAAACTAATTGTTATCTTTGTCGCCGGGTACAATCGCAGCGACTTTGCAAGTTTGAGGCCTAGCTAGGCTAAACGTAGCAAGCCAGAATTTCAAGAGCTTTGTGTAGGGCTGTAATCACACCTGGTATGGCCGTTCGCCCGTGTGGCAGCGGACATGGCGCCGCAGTTTGGATAGCTCTACCGAGGCGTAGTCGCACTCGGTGCACTTGTGTGGCTTCTCGTGCGTATGCTTGTACCGGATATGGCGCACCAGCTCACCTAGTCATAGATAGACCATGTGAAAAATTACAAGATTCATAGGTTTGTAAATCATTCCTCAAAAACTTTTGTACATTCTACTAATAAAAGAAATTAATAGTTAAAAAAAGATGATCAATTAAATCATTGACATGTTAGTCACAACATGCATGTAATAACTAAAACAAATATGATAAAGTAGCAGTTTAGAAAAAAGGTAACCTTTTTTAGATTTTAAGAAATTAACTACTAACCAGAAGTTGTGAATGGACTTTTGCAATATTTGCAAACATGTGGTTTAACACCATTGTGCATATTGACATGATTCTGCAGAGAAGCAATAGTCTTGAATCCACGTTCACAAACTCCACATTTGTGTGGGCGATCCTCAGAGTGGGATTTCATATGACGCAGTAATAAATACCTGTAACATGTACCAGAGAGTATATTATCCATCCTTATATCCCTTTCAATCTTTTTACTCCTAAGTCATTTTATTCCATTGCTGCTTACTTCATAATATTATCTCTTCAAAATTTTCTATTTACTATAATGAAGAAACCCCAAATATACATTTTATAATACCATTTTCTGATGAAATTGACATTCAATTAACTAAAAAGTAGACATATAAAATGACTAAATAAAATTAATGAAATATCATATTTCTTAAGATGTCTATGCCTTAGTCATTAAGATTCCCTTTTAAAAAATTTCCCAGCTCATATGATCCTAAAGATAAATTAAAATATATATAATCTTACCGTCTATGACTAGTGTAAGAGCAGAAGTTGCATGTGAAATGGGCGCGTGTATGCTTTGTACGCTTTTTCCCTACTTTAACTTTGGATTTATCATTTTCTTCATCTGTTACCTCTTGACCAGCCTCTTCCTCCTCATCTTCGAAATTGTAGACATCCTCATTGTTCTTCTCCTCCTATAGAATAAAAGTTTTCTTAAATAAGTTTGCATTTTAAACATATGCATAAATAACTCGTATATAAATATATATATATATATATATATATATATATATATAAACAAAAGAAAAATTCAATTAAAAATTGTCAGAGAAATATGTTGTATCATCTATGGGACACATACAATACAAAAATATTTCTGGTCTACCTTTATGTCTATATTGATGACTGGCTTAGTCTCCTCTTGTACTACTAGAACATAGCTCACTTCACCATTACCATTGTCTGATGGCATCAAAGTGACAGTTTGATATCCATCACTGTCTACCAACATTTGAGATTCATCCTCTCCCATTACCTAAAATCATATTACTCAAATTATATTTGAAAGAAATTTATCCAGTAATATTCACTTTATTAAACAATATGACAATTGTTGAATATAAAACAAGTATGCAGCACCTCCTCATTTTCTTCATTTTCTCCAGTTGGTAGTGGTATAAGACCCTGATTTTCACCAGCGGGCTGGTAATAATATCGACCTTCTTCATCTACAAAGTATGTCACTCCAGATTCTGCCTCCTCATCGACATCTCTTTTCACTGCAAGTTTAAGGTAAGCCAATAAAAATGTTGTAACAGCAATTAAGGGACATGTATAGTACAATAGTAACTTTCATATACATTATTGTTGTGTTATAAACACCAATGTATATGAAAGTTGTCATCATACTATGTTATGGTTTTTTACCGAATGATAATAGATTAAAGTTAAAATATAAAAAGCTTACTGAAGGAGCATTTTATTTATCTAATACCTTTAAATGAGCAATTCTTGTATGTATATATATATATATATATATATAATCGGAATCTCGTAAACGGCTCCAGCGATTTTCATGAAATTTACAATGTATGTAACGATTTGCGGGCGAAAAATCGATCTAGGTAGGTTTTATTTTTGGAAAATGTCCTTTTATCCCTGTTTTCAGGGAATGAAAAATATTAATCGATTATGACGGTATATAATCGGGCGGCCTCGAAACAGATGGCCGTGGTTCGTGTCACGATCATTTACACACTTATTTTTTTTTCTATACCAGATCATTGCTTTTGATCATTGAAAAAATAAATAAATTGAAGACTTGCAATAGCTAATTATTTATTATTTTTCATTTCACTTTATTACATTGTATGTGATGCATGATATTTCAATCTTTTTGTATTAACTTGGCAAAACAAAGTATTATAAGTCTGCAGTTTAATACATTTTCTTCAGAGGTTGAATGTCAATTTGAGATATATTATCATATGATTACATTTAAAATTCAGATATTTCGAACCAACTCCGTACAGATTTAGCTTTCAAATGGATCAATAAATGTTGTGATTTCTGACTTATGGTGTAGTTATTTTTGGAATACCCAATTTAGTCTAGACTTATTTTTGATGTCTGCTATCAATACTATCTTTTAATAATTTTTTATTTAAAAATGAAATCATTCACTTTTTGAAAAAAAAAAAGCCCTTTTCTTGTAAATATAAAACTAAATATGTAAAATATCCACTGTAGTATGGTTGATGTTGTACCACGTAAAAATAACCTACTAATTTGTTGATCTACTTTGTCTATTACTCTGATGATGATGTGGTCATTATCATGCAATAACAATGTGTCTCCAATTATAAATGTTAACATATCTTGAAGCAATTAGAAACTTAAATTAAATGTTTCATTGATTCAAATACATAGATACACAAAGATCTAAATACAAAGTTACATTAATTTATAAGTTATATTAAGTTACATTAAAGTTTTCAAAAATAAATTTCATTAAATGCTTGATCTGATATCTTTAAGCAGTTTTGCCATGCTGTTTACCATTGTCACATTGCTCCAATTCCTATTTATAAAATTCAGATATCCATAACAATTCATCTAATTTTTTTAAGATTAAATTTATATTATATTGAAATTGATAAAATTCAAAAGTGTTTTCTTGGACAAATATAATTATAGTATAAGGAATATACTTATTATTATTTGTTTAATAAGTAATAATATTTGATATAAAAATTATTGAATAAAATTTGTCATACAATTTTCTTACAACAGTATGTAGTAATTTCATTTCATTGAATAGAAATATTAAGTCTCCAGGCAATGAGCATTTTTATTTGAGGCATTGGACAACAAAAAAAAAATATATGACAAAAAATAAATACATATATAAAACCGTATAATTGCTAAAAGCTTTAATGAGTGCGAATAATGTTACAACAAAAGGATCAAAGATTGTTTAGTTTACAGTGAAACTTGTTTTTTTAGTGAATATAACATAATACAACATTTTGTGAAACAAACAATCCCTTAAACAACATATAATTATAACTAACAGAACAGCTAATTTGTCGGTATCCATAATTAGAACATACTTTGGAAGTTTGAAGCAAAGTAAGGACATTGGTTTTTTCTTTGTTCAATTAAAGGTTAATTAATGTATCATGGTTGAGATAATTATTATAGTTACCAATGATTGTAACTTATTCACGTCAAAGTTCTAATTGCAAACAATTAGTCTAGCTATTCAAAGGGGGAATGCTGCCAGTATCTACAAAACTTTGCCTAAAGGGACACCTTTTAATAATATATTTTAGTTATTATACTATATTTCTTTAAGGTTTTAGTTTTAGGTTCATTGTTTTTATATATATTTTTTGTATTAGTTTATCATTTGAATGTTATTTAAGTATGCTTATAGCCTTATAAACTCATTTTTAATATTTATCATTACAAGCTACTTAATTAAATTAAATAAATAGTTGTCACATTACAATTTAGACAGACATGCATTAAAAAATCATAAATGTTTCTATTTTTTACCTGAAATTACAGTGGTTGGCTCTTCATTTTGTTGATTAAAGGTGTTTAGGTAAGACTGCAGAAGAGTCTTACCCTTTCCTGGTTTCTTATCAGGAGGTGGCATAGCTGCATATAAAAAGATACTTCAATTATTAATCAATGGTGATAGAAAAAATCATAAAAAGACAATAATTGAATAGGAACATCTATAAAAATCACCATCTTTCCCTTTGAAAAAATCAACAGAATCAGCAGGTTACCAAGCTAAAGTTGTAGCAATTGTATTTTAGAATGAAATCTAAGTAACACATAAATTTTATAACAATATTAAGTTTGAGCACTACCACTATTTGCAAAAATTGATGAAGCTATATAGACAACATTAGGAATGCATTGGTGATATGATTGCTAGTTTTAAAGTAATGAACTTTAATGTCAAACGAAACGACACATCACGACATTTCAAAAATTTACTTGCAAAGTAGCGAAATGACTTTATTGAGAACAAAGTTACAAAAGACATTTATATTAAATGTAAAAAATACTTGTTCTATCAGTTTAAGAAGTCATATTACCTTCCACTTTAACGATTTTATTCTTTTAATAATTAATTACAAGCCAGCGATGGCTTGTAATGATGCATTTAACCATCTGTCGCACTGAACAACATGTAACTATTTAAATGACATGAATCCAAAAGTAGTTAGGTACGTCCGCCATCTTTAGGGATAACAAAGTTTATTACACCTTACTAATTCGTTGTGCACCTAAGTAAATGATAATTTCGGAATAAGTTTATAATTTACACTATAATAAACAAATTACCGCCACAATCTAAAACGAAAACTAGCAGCAAAGTTCACAGACGGCGCTGTTGTCAATGCCAAAACGATCAGAAAAGTAAAGATTTTCTATTTCACTGTTCTTTAGCAGAGTATTCACACTTTCAATCAAACATGTGCCTATCAACAGTATACAGAAATTCTATCTATCTAACGCTTTATTTAAACTGTTTGAAGAATTATTACAATTACATCTAATTATGTACCTGAATTTTTCTAATAGAGCTTCTAAATTTTCTCAATGAGGGCGTTTTAATCAATCTATTCAGCGACAGTGACGCCGAAATGGCGGATGGCAAGCGCGAGAACTACGAATGAACAGGGAAAAGTAGGTCAGTATTGCCATCATTTGACGTGGAACTATAATACCAACACTAACCGCATTATAATTATTTTACTTACAAATAATTAAAAAAATATTTTAGTACATACAAAACAAAATAATATGTGACAGACTATATGGATTCAACAAATGTGTTCTTAGACAAGTTGTTTAGGTATACTATGTTAAGAATTTTTTCGCGAAACTTAATAAAATAATTAAGGGGTACTTGGTTAATTGAAAAATTGACTGATCCCTTTGGAGAGAGGTTAGCCCTAGTTTTTTTTGAAAGATTTAAATCCTAAGCTTAACGCCGTGGCTGCTAAAAAGAGGGCTGGTTCTTTTCTCGTTCAAAGGGGAAGCATAACTATCCAACAAGGAAATGCATTAGTCTTGTGTCGGTCGCGAATAATGATAAAATAATGATAATAATAAATAAATAAACATTTCCGAATGATAAATGTTAATCGGTCTAATGGCTCTTTCGTTCTTTGCATACAGCTACCAATAAAATCATCGGTTCGGTACCGAACGAAACGAACGGGACTGATCACTGAGACTGAGAGAGAGAGAGAGAGAGAGAGAGAGAGTCGATCGGTGACCGGTGAGCAGTTTTTTTTTATTTTTTTAACTGATGTTTGTGCTTTCAGTCCCGAGACTATTAAAGCTTCATCTGACGCAGAACCGGTAGTCTAGCCAGAACCCACGGGTTTGGGCCCTCCGCTGTGGCTAGGGCCGTGCATTTGCTCATGCGTGCGTTTAACTACGACATGTCATCTAAAGGCCATCGAAGTTGCGGTGCGGACCGAGACCCCGATGGCCGTCGACTGTGATTTTAGCTAATCGGTGGCTGGGGGCGGTGAGAACCGCCCTGGAACGCGGGTGTACCTTCTGTACGCGTTGTGTTGGTCTCGCCGTGCTCGGAGGCGAGGGCGAATTAATGTGTTTGTTGCTACATTAACTGTGTGTGTAGTGTTATCCGGCGGGACCCCCGACGGTGGGTCCGACGTACCTAAGTCCCCTTCCTCGACCGGGTCGATGAGGACGTTTCGCGGGCGACGCTTGTTGACGTTCGCGTTTGGATCGGGTTGGTAATTTGCTGCGCTTACCACCAGAGGGTTGGGATGCTGTTTAGCTCTATCGAAGAAGTTTGGTCAGGTCTTTGAAAAATTCGCGAATCGTCGGGAGTCTGCAATCGCTGTGCAGGTCGACGTTGCGTTGATACCACTGCGCACCGGTTGCGCGGCGGATGAACTTATTTTGCACCACCTGCAATTTGTGCAAGCGAGTATGGTGCGTGTGGGCGAAAATCATGCATGCGTAGGACATGATTGGCCGTACGCAAGCTTTGTATAAAAGTAATTTGTGTTTTAAGGACATTTTACTTGACTGGTTAGTTAAAGTGCTTAGCCGGCCGGAGACGAACGCGGCTTTGTTACGGACGTTATTAATATGCGTTGTGAATGACATACGCGAGTCGAAAGTGACTCCTAAATATTTTATCTTTTTCTCCCAGGGGAGCGGTTGGCCATAAAGAGATATTTGCCCTAGCTTTCTGCATTGGCGAGGACCTTTATAAAGATGTGACGGGCAAGTACTTCGTGTGAAATGAATCGCCACACTCTTTTCGGGATTTACTTCAATTCTCCATTTGCGGAACCAATCGCCGAGGCGGTCGGCGGCGTTTTGGAGACGAGTAGAGAGTTGATTAAGATTTTTATCTGTGTAAAAGAGGGCCGTATCAGGTGAGCAGTGACCGAGTAAAAGAGTATATCGGTGGAGACCCGACGAATTACGGTGTTGGTCTTCTTCTTTAGGAGTCGATGACAAATCATATCTTTCCAGCCCAGAATTTAGCCACTTCGACAGTACAATTTGTGGCATCCATCAGATCCTGCTGCGAAAAGGTGAAAGGGCAGGCACGACAGGATATCAGATGGGCCATGGACTGCACTGCTCCATACATCAGTCCAGCTCTGAGTTTTCTGGGAGTCCCCACCTGAACATATTTTCCTTGCTTCGTCCAACCTGAGTCCGAAGTCTATTTAAAGACTTCCAGGTTGGCCAAAGTAGTCTATGACCAGCCGGAGGACTCTCAGAAAGCGAGACAAAGGGATCCGGAAGCAGAGTTTGAGCACGCCACATGATGCATCTCGCTTGAGAGGGCTCGGTTGTGAGGGGGTCGACATATTTAAAAAAAACTTTTTCGACTTTTCAGCCTTTGCTGTGCGAGCTCATGCTCATGTAGGGGGTGCCGCTTATCATCGTCCGCCTTTGCCTTCTCTAGCGAGCTTGTTACGGCTCTTCGTACAACTGGCGGCGCTATGTCCAGCCAGTGGCTACAGCAACTTCACCGGGGTCGATGTTACTGATCGAACGAATCGGTTAAACTGTGAGTATAGATATTTCTGTGTACACCAATGTAGTAACGACTATTTTAGCTTAACGACACGAAAAGGCGGGAGATTCGTGTTTATTATCTATATAATAATTAGGTAAATAAGTATTATTATCGAACAAGTCAAATTTTGTAAGATAGTTAAAATATGGGGGTGTTTCATCATCATCATCCTAATATCAGCCGTAGGACGTCCACTGCTGAACATATACCTCCCCTATTGACTTCCACTTCGACCGGTCGTTAGCGGCCTGCATCCAACGCGTCCCTGCGATCTTGGCTAGGTCGTCCGTCCACCTTGTGGGAGGCCTTCCTGCTAATAATGGTGTTTGTACACTGTTTGTTCAAACGTAAAAATTTAATTTATGTAAATTTTTATTTTTTGTGTTAAGGTAAATAATTTTACTGTGACTAACATGTTTCTTATTTTATTATTACATTTCTTCTAATATTTTGATCCATATTAAGTATGTGTTTGTGTACGAATGGCTTTGTCGCGTTATTGTATATTGTATCACTGTTCTTAATGTCGATGTTATAAATCGGCTGAATAGCAAACAAACTGATGTCCTTTCTAAACTTTAGAATTTTCAATTAAGTATATATTATTCAGTACATAGACTAAGATTCAGTATGATATTTGATACTCTTATGGCTTTAGATTCTTAAAGGGGCCCATTCACTATCTTGCATGACATTCCACCGTGCAGCCCACATGATGTAGCCCACACACTAGCCTGCAAGCCTCAATAGTGTCAGTGTTGTTGTTGTAATAATTATGGATTTACGTGTCGTTTCGCAAAAAAAAAAAGAAAATAGCGATTCTACTGTGTTTTTTTTTGTTGTTAGATAAAATTTTTATTAATGAATAACTTTTTCTCACATTATCATACTAATATACATAAAATTAAAGTAATAACCTAAGTTTTTCTCAAGTAGAACTATTTCAATATAAAATTGTTTTTTAACTTAGTTTTAGTTATCACATCAGTCGGGCGTCCCGGGATGCACACGTTTTTTTTGTTTAAAACAAAGTTCCTAGCCCTGTGTAGATTTTTTCAAACGTGTGAATAAAATTTAATTCCTAAAAACATTTCCTAAAAATTACCTCCTAAACAATTTCTATCGTCAATATGTACTGTCTAAATTTACGAAAAAAATTCTTAATTTACCATCCGTATTTTCGTATAATATAGCGCAATTTTGATAAAGGCTTAGTGCATCTTTTTTTCGTCATATGGCAGCACTGCCGCTATGCAGTACGGCCAAACCACTGACGCTCCTGCGCGGCGGACTGCAAGCGGTGGGCGGAGCCTGCAGGTCCCTTGCAGGATGCAAGGCGCGTCCTGCTCGGTGTTGCCAGAATCTTTGCAGGCCTGCGACACCATTCACAATCCTGCATAAAGCGGCGGTAGCACACTATCCTGCAAGCCGTCCATCGTCTCTCAATAGTGTCAGTGTTGTTGTTGTAATAATTATGGATTTACGTGTCGTTTCGAAAAAAAAAAGAAAATTGCGAGTTTTTCTTGTTGTTAGATAAAAGGTTTTATTAATAAATAACC